GCCGTTTCCATAACAAGCTTTTTCAGCCGATGGAGGTCACGTGACCTAATTTGCATAATTTTACAGCACGAAATTGGCACAAACTAAAAGTGTGTGCAGCTGGCAAAGTTTTATGTGTCTACATCTAAATCTCTTAGATATAGACCACTTGACTAAAGGACCTGGTTGAGGCTCAATGATATTTTGAAAGTCTCCGTTGTAGGTTTCCGAGCTAGACATGCAAGAAAATTTCGCTCAAAATTTAGCTCAGCTCATAGGTCTAATGAATGATGAACTTTTTCTAATGACCACCACTTACATGGGCAAACCAGTTAGTTCACAGTTGGTGAAAAGGTAGACAGAAAAAGGGCAGTTTTGGATTATCAAAATTATTCAAATTATGATGATGATAAACTTTGTTTATAAACAATGTTAAAAATAGAAAATAAGTTATTAAACTCTCTACAACTGTCTGACATATTTGCCGTGAAGGAGGTACTAAGGGCTGTTTACATGGAGGTGGGGGACCCCAGGTAGGTGAGGTAACCCGCTTGTCCATGTAATCTCTCAGTTTAATTTGATCACGTTTACATGATAGGTGGGGTGATCATATAAGAGATTATGTGGACAGGAGGGTTACCTTACCTACCTGGGGTCCTCCACCTCCATGTAAACAGGCCCTAACTTGACTCGATCCGAGGCCGAGGGGAAGAAAACAAAAGAAATATACCACTTATTAACCGAGGGTGAAGTCATCACAGGGAAATCTCAAACCGAGGCCTTGATGAATTGACCGAGCGATAGCGAGGTTAATACATCAAGGTCGAGGCCTGACATGTGCCTGTGATGACCGAACAGACGAGGTTTATAAGTTATTTATCGTATGGCCTTTTAGCGCAATTCTTTAGAAAAAGAATACAATAAAACTGTGGCTCTCTTCTTCACTCGTACTAAATAAGTATCGGTATGCTAGTATTTTTCTTTCAGTTATTGAAAGGAGAGTTATATTTTGTGGTAGCTTTTACTCACAACTCCAAAGAGCCGTAGAGCCGAGAAAAAATTTCATATTATATGGTTATTGCAAGAAAATCTTACCCGCCTAGCAGCCAATCAGAATGCGAGTGCTATTGTAGCCATATAATAAGAATTATTAATCTCTGAATCTCAGTGCGATTTCTTTTGTTTATATCCCTCTGCCTCGGAGCCAAGAAATATATACATTCAGCCAGGGCTAAAAGCAAAGCTCTCGTTAATATTTGTAGTTTACTCAAACGAAATATAAAATCGTGTAATGCTAAACGGCGACAGCAACGAGAACGGCAAACAAACCCTTAGGTCTAATTAGCAAAATTTGCACGTGCAGTGCACTTTTTTGTACATTTCTTTGCCTTGTTTTGTATAGTCTGCTACACAGCCGTTTTTAGTGTCGTCACGCAACGCTCCTCCCCGAGCGTTGCGTGACGACGCTAAAAACGGCTGTGTAGCAGACTATGTTTTGCACGAATACAACGGGAAACTTCCAGAAACTTCCCAGGTGGCTCGATACAGTTTTTCAGGGTCAATACCTCCCAAGTTTGAGCATAAACTACGTCGCCATAAACAAGGATTTGGAAAAGTTGTCACCACAGTTGTTATAGATAAAGATTAAAAATCGTTATGATCAGGGTTGCAACGACATCCGAGTTGTCATAGCAACGAAATGACGCTATTACCTATTTTACTTGCAGCAGTATATCTCAGCACTGGGAACTGTTCTTCTAAAATCGTTCACGGGAGCTTTTTCATCCAATAGCGGCCTCGATGTTCGTCAAGTTTAAGCGAAATCTGTGAGAGCGTTATCGAGATATTTTGGGATGAAGTTTTTCTGGTTAGAAACACAGTAAAAAATGGACAATCTTGATTTTTGGCCGTTATCTGTAAAAAACGCAGCGCTTTTGACATGCAATTTCACCTCATAGTAGTTTCAATCTTTTTTTAAAAAGTGTGTGCAAGAACATGGAGATAGCTCCAGCCGATTGCTCGTAAGAACGGTTTGATGAGTATGTATCGAAGCGCTCTTGTTAGCGGTTTTGTAAACATTTTGGTCTTCTTGATCAAATAAGCGAATAATTTTTAAACCGCTCGATAGAGTTTTTAAAAAATTTTAGATATCTCGAGATTAACCTTCCTTTTATATGACCATTTAGTTTCAAGATTATTGATATATTGTAAGGCAGTCCACCGGTTTAGGTATTTCATCAACCTGAGAAAACAGCCGACGTTTCACGAGCCCACTGAGGGTTGCCTCGCGAAATGAAGCCCTGGTATTTTAGGGTGTCCCCCCCCCAAAACGAACTTTCTCTTGTATAAATTTGCATCAACATCTTCTTTGTTTGGAATTGGAAATCTATGAAGACCGAGGTGAGTGTTGTCACCTTTTGTCAAAAGGGGCATAAACTGTATTGTCCTGGAGACATCATACTTGTAATGAAAATGAAGGCTATTGCAGCATGCCCTATGGTAAAATGTGACCTATTTAGCATGCATTGATACTGATTGTGGCTTGTGTATAAAGTAGTCTTACCCATTATGTGTGAGTCTCAGGCCAGCGGACTGAAGACAGCGATCTCACTCATTAAGGACAATTTCTCATGCCAGACTCACCAATTTGAGGGAATTGTTTTTTAGGATATGATTTATAAGGACAATTCAATTCAATTTCCCTGAAAATGTTCCAAAAAGTGCTTAATATTGACTTTGTGTACAAAAAGTATCACAACGCTCAAAAATGGTCGTCTTTTAAATAGATTCAGAAGAGCTCAAAGGTAATCAGAACATCTTCAGACATCTTCAGCAAAGTTCAGAAATCTTCGGAAAATTGTCGGGAATATTCGGAAGTCGCTGGGACGTTTCAGACGTTCTGGTCATGACAAGATGACAATTCTCACACTTTTGACTCGAAAACGTTGGCAGCTATATTTATAGGATTAAAACAAACGGAAAAATTGACAGTGAAGCTGCCACGTCATTGATCATATCAAAACTATTCATAAGTGCGTATGAGCTTAGTAAAAATAGTAGTGTGTTCATTACGCACTACATAGAGTACAATTTGAGCATTGAGCGTCAGCAAGCAGGGAATTTAGGTCAAGCTGTAGAATATGCTGCTTGAACACCGATAGTGTAGGAAAGTCCCTTACCTTTTTGGGCAGTAGATTCCATAACTTAGGGCCAATATACCTTATAGAATGCTTCCCATGTGTAATTGTGTTCAATCTAGGTATTACAAATTCCTAGTTCTTCAGTAGATATTTGGTGTCTGTCCTGTGGAAAAGGTCAGCAATGTGTTTCGGACAAATATTATTCTTAACTTTGTACATAAGACCCGCTATATCCTGTAACCGTCTGTTACGCAGGGTACACAGGTTAGCCATGTTCAGTAGTTTTTCATAACTTGATGATCTGTCACAGTAAATAGCTCTGAGTGCCCTTTCCTGTACTCTTTCCAATTTCCTTCTGTCAGTAGCACGACAGAAGTGCCAAACAAGATGACAATAAGTTAAGTAGAGAAGAATAGCAGCTTTAAAAAGCTGTAACCCAGTACCAGTAGGTAACACGTTTCTGAGTCACATCAGGACTCCTACACGCTGACTGCTTTTCTTATAGATTATACTTATGTGATCATGAAAACGAAGTTGCCTGTCCATTGATACCCCAAGTAGTTTTAAGCAGTCAGTAGATACTACAACAATTACTAAAACTTCATTATCGATTACTATATTAATATTGTTGCCTGGCTTGCTACCAAGCAGGAGGACTATCTGCAGCATGCATTATCTGGGAAAAGTGTAGCCTGGGTGGCAGGAGTTTGGAAGGGAGGGGAGGGTCGGGGCGCGTGAGGAGGAAGGGAACCTCCTTCCCTCCCTCCTCGCACTCCCCTCGCAACAGATAGTGAGTACAATGTATAATAAAAGCGGTTATCAGTACGTCTCAAGCCCAGTTTGGTGACCAGTTCATACATGTGGGTCCTAGTGGGTGAATTTGGGTAAATTTTCGTGACACGCCTCCTTTTATATTTGGCTCTTGCGTTGTTGCATTTTTTAGGAGTGTACAAAATCATGATGGTGGAGCAATGCGGTCACCCTCCCTCCCGCTTGGCGGGTCACCCTTCAAGCGAGGCCAACTTTTTGTCTTTCACGTAAACAGTTCACCACATTTTGTAAGGAAATGTCCCTTCTACTCATGACAACTTTTCTCCATATAAACGGGCCTTGGGAAAAGAGCAGCTGCTTGGGTCTACATCGAGGCCTGTGCCTGCCCACATGGCTACACCCAGCTGCATCGCAACCTTGCATCAACTGAACTGAACAACCGTCAGAAAACAGCCGACATTTTTCACCACCACCACTGGTGTCCCTGTGAAATGACGTCTGAGAAATGACTGCAGAAATTTCATGCTGATGAGGTGCCAATACCCAGATCTGGGTAGTGTTTCTGATTGGTCGTTTGCCGAGGGAAAATTGCAATCAGAAGCACTACTCAGATCTGGGTAGTGAGACACGACGTCGCCAGTATGAAATTTCTGCAGTCATTTCCAAACGTCATTTTGCGGAGAAACCAGTGGTGGCGTCCTCAAAATTTGGCTGCTTTCTTCAAGTGACCATTGAGATTGTTGTCACAAATCAAAATCTTGACGATAGAAGCCAAGGAAAAGGTCTCAACATTTTTTTTTTTATTTATTTCATTTGCTATTCCAAAGTACAACAATTACAACAATTACAATTATTATCACAAAGCATACATGCACAAACTTACTACACACCTAAGCACACGGGCAATTCCACAATTACCACACAAGGTAATGCCTACTGTTATTTTACAAGTGTTATTCAAAAAAGAAGAAACTAATCATTTTTTTCAAAAGAAGAAAAACTACCTAGATTACAAAATCCATTTGTCCATTAATTTTTGTAAATTCTTATTCTTAGTGCAAATATATTTTTCTATTTCATATTTACCATTTATTCTAACTATAAAACTGTTTATGGTTGGGAGTAGTTCATTCCTTCTGCAACTCCATAAATATATTTTCCCTATAAGTATAAGATAATTAAGCAAGGGGCATTCAGAAGATAAAAAGCCGATCCAAATTTCCTTTAATGTTAGGTGAACTAGTTGTTTTCGCAACCCAAAATAATATGATTCAATACATTTCCAGAATGAATTCGAATAAGGGCAGTCCCAAAAGAAATGTCTAATAGTTTCTGATTCCCTTTTGCAAAAAGAGCACAAGTTGTCTGTCCTGTACCCAATCTTGAACAACTTTGAGTTGGTAAAAAGTATAGAATTAAGTATTTTAAATTGAAAGGCTTTGACATAAGGTTCAAACGCGATAGAATGGGGCAAGAGAAATGCCTTTCTGAGATCGTCATTAGATAGATTAAAATCCAACTTCAGTTTTTGTGCATAATTTGGGAGACAAGCCTTCTTTTTGATCAAAAAAGGATAATAATCTTTTGATTTCTTTTTTGCTATGTCGAAAACGCCGCCATTGATTTTAAGGGAAGGTATTGCATTAAAGGTACTCGAATCCGAGCGATTAAGAAATCTTAAGTTGGTTGGTATTGAATGGCTCATACTAGTCCATTCAAGGAAGTTTGTCTTTTTAACATTTTTTGCAATCTGCTCGTAGGATTCCGTATTGCTGAGATCAAAATGTAGGTCTCCTATTTCCCAGATACCAATGTCGTAATATTTCTTGTAGAAAAAGGGCTTGTCGTCTATTCTAAAGTCTCGATTATTCCAAATTACATAATGCCAATTGTTATTAAGAGCATTATCTTCTCGGAGTTCCGACCACCATTTAAGTAGTTCTAAATAAAAGGTAGAGGTGATTTGAAGATCCTTAACATTATAATTGCATTTAAAAAGCATTAGACCTCCAGAATCTTTCAAGATGTATTCAAGGTAGTTTTTCCACGCGCCTGAGTTGTCACTAAATATTCGTTTAAGCCAGGAAAGACGGAGAGATTTTATCAAACTTTCAATATCCACCATTTTGATGCCTCCTTCTTCATAATTATTTATTGTTGACGCTCTTGTTACTTTATCTTTACCTTTCCATAAAAACTTATATTATATATTATATGATTTAAATCCTTGACAATGTGTTCCGGAGTAGGTAACAAAGAGGAGGTGTAAACGATCTTAGGTGTAAGAAGTGATTTGATTAGAGTAACCTTTCCGTAGACAGAAAGCCCCCTTGAGGACCAGATGTTGATTAGTTTTTTAATGTCGACGATTTTCTCTGAGAAATTCTTTGAGTGAGACAACTTATGGTCATAGGTGAAAAAGACACCAAGGGCTTTCATTGGCTGTGTGGGCCATTTGATTCCTAGAGGTTTATTTTCACTGTTCTTCAGTAATCCTATCCACATTCCTTCGGTCTTTGAACTATTTACCTTTAAGCCAGAAAGCTCCTTGAACTTATCAAGCAGTTGGAAGAGTTTTTGAGCTGACTCTAAATCAACGAGTACAGCAGTAGTGTCATCAGCGTATTGAAGAAGTTTGGTCTCTTCTTGATTTATTACTATTCCTTTTATTTCTTCGCTAGCTCTGATGGCGATCGCTAAGGTTTCCACGGCCAAAAGAAAAAGATATGGGGAAAGAGGGTCGCCCTGCCTGACACCACGTGTCAGTTCAAAATAGTCTGAACACAACCCATTATTTACCACATAACTTTTAATATTTGCGTAAAACGTTTTGATCCAGCGCTTAATATTTGGACCAAAATTAAAGACATCTAGACAATTATACAGGAAGTTCCATTCTAAAGAATCAAACGCTTTTTCAAAATCAATAAATATCAACAGACCAGGCATATTTTCCTTATCTGTTAAATCCATGATATCGAAGATCGACCTAACCGATTCACCAATATAGCGTTCTTTTACATAACCAGTTTGGTTATGGTGGATTATAGAAGGAAGTATATCTTTAATTCTGTTGGCAATCACTTTTGATATTATCTTAGCGTCAGCATTGACAAGTGATATGGGCCTCCAATTTTCTATTAATGTACGATCTTTGCCTTTCTTTTCTATTAAAGTGATTACAGCCTGCCTTTGGGAATTGGACATTTCTTCTTTATCAAAGGATTCATTGACGCAATCTATGAAGGGTTTACTAATGAGATGCCAGCAGCTTTTGTAAAATTCAATGGGGAGACCATCATTCCCTGGTGATTTATTGTTTTGAAACGTTTCTATAATTATCCTACATTCCTCGGTCGAAATTCTTCCTTCACACGATTGCCTTTGTTCTTCCGATAGTTTAGGAATATTTAAACTATTTAGAAATGCCTCTATGGAATCCGTAGCCTCTACAGAGTCCTTAGTTGTAAAGGTTTTGATAAAATCGTTTTTGTTCAGCGAGTATCCGATACGGGTCTGTAGTTATTGAACCACTTATTAACAATTTTCGGATGTGTTTTTTGACATGGTTTCTCTTTTCTAGATTTAAAAAGTATTTAGTACTCCTTTCACCATACTCATGCCAACGTGCTCTTGCCCGTATGACGATTCCTTTTACTTTTTCCTCATATAAAAGTTCTAATTTTTCTTTGATTTCATCTAATCGCAATCTATTTGAGGCACTAGGGTCATTTTCAAACAGCCTGTTAGCATCTTTAAGTTCTTGTTGAATCCGCTGCTCTTTCTCATATTTAAGTTTGGCTTTTTCTTTGGAGTAGCTAATGGCGTGCAATCTAATATTGTATTTGATCCAGTCCCAAACGCAGCGTTTGTCAGACAGATCAATTTCACCTTCTTGTTTCCATTTGGGTATATTATATTAATTCGTAACTGTTCTAGGTAGTTTTCATCCTCTAAGAGCGAAACATTCATTTTCCAGTTCGCTTTGTAAAGTTTCAATACTATCAATTGCTGCTCTTCTTGGAATCATGACACCACCGTGTTTATCAAGAGCTGGATTTATCGGACAATTGAAATCACCCCCTAATATAATGTTTTCCTCTGAGTCCAAGTCTTCCATTTGAAGCAGGCCACGTAATTTTCTAAAAAACTGAATTAGATCCTTATCTTTGTTCGGTGCATAGATATTTACAAGAACATATACTTTGTCATCGATTTGGATTTTTAGAATAATAAAACTACCCAGGGGATCTCGAGTTGTCCATAGAACTGAATAATTGGTATTGTTTCTGATCAATATTGCAGTACGCATGAATTAGGGCTTCCATGTGAGAAAAGTATTTCGCCACCCCATTCATTTTTCCACTGCACCTCTGTCTCCTTCTTTGAATGCGTTTCTTGCAAAAATACAAAATCAGCCTTCTGTTTACGACACCATGTATAAATTGTACGACGTTTAGTAAAGTTGCTAATGCCCCTTACGTTTAAAGAAACTAATTTCAAATTAACGGTTAAAGGAAAAGGTCTCAACTTGCACTGGATTCCACAACACTAGACAACTTCGGTTGACTATCAAGCAAAGAACTCAGTTTTATTTTACAGTTTCAAAGTCAGTTGGTTAAACAACTGACGGCAAAGAACCTACAATAATGACCAAAAGCTACAACCGAAAGTTACTTTATACTTAAGGCTGGTTTAAAGCAGCAGCAAGCTAATCATAAGTACTTTTTGTTACCTAATTTACAAGCATAATTCATAACACTTGACCTGCGCCATTCTAAAGCAGCTCTGTGACTGGTCTGCTATGAGCACCTCTGTTTCGAATGTTTGTCCTTCCTCAGAGCGGAGGGCAAGCGCCCGAAACCTGGGGGGATATACCTTTATGGGCCCTGCTCCAAACATCAGCTTTTAAAGGTTCTTCTCGGTGGTGACTTGATTTTATAAACTCAATGGATGAAACTTTTTTGTGTGAGTTGGTCTCTCTCACCGATGCAGCACCACAGATTGTGTTGAAACTATAAATTCCTCCAACCACATTATCATTTTAAACTGAACCAACGAATCACAGAGATGCACATTTTCATGCGCGTTTTATGAGGAAAAAACATTCCTTTGAACTCGATAACCAACCAAAGGGCCGCTTGGGATTTGTGCAGGGCATCGCCTGAATGCATTTTCTTAGTCATTTGGTATAAAATAAAAAGGCAAAGCACTGTTTATATAAGCCGTTCACAAAAGTGTTGATGCACACACGCGCGAGTCCACCTGGTCTCGATTTCCTCGATCCTTTCCAGCAGTCTGCGCTAGGTCCGTGCGTGATTTAATGCCTGTTGCCGAAATGAAGGAATGTTCATGTCTCCCCGAATTGCTGAAGTCCCTTATTAAACTCTCCACCTGGCGGACATTTGCGTGTGTTCCGACTCTTGCAAAACATACAGTAATAGGCAACTTCTGAGTTCCAAAAGCCCTCACCTTCAAAATGAGGCCAAGTGCATCACTTTTCTTGTGAAAATGAGTGTTATTGGCATAAATCATTTCCATATCAAAGGCTGAGCACTTAACTTCGTTTTTATACAGAGGCCCAGGTAACTCAGAAATTAAATGGCCTATTGCAAACTACAAACCTTGAATTACCTTTATTAAAATGCCTACAAAATTTCCTATGACATTATGCAATATACTTAGCTAAGAAATATTGTATAGTTATGAACAAGTTTCAAAGTGTCGAAGCTGGGGGTGCAAGATTCCATTTTGTTCTTTGCTTTTTTCCATTCTAATTTTTCTCAGACAGGAACTGAGCCTGAAAGCTGAAGCAAAAGACACTGCAAATTCCAACTATAAAATGGAAACAAAATTTATCATAGTGCTGGTTGTACATCCCAGCCGGCTGTGAGGCTGACCGGTTGACTATTTACATACCGTACTTGTTCGAATAAGCGCCCAACCTCGAATTAGCGCCCGCCTCGAATGAGCGCCTATCCTAAAGGCAGAAAAAGTTATTAAGTGCCCAACCTCGAATAAGCGCCCACCACCTAACATCCATCCAGCAAGCTGTATCTGCTTCTCGGGCACCTAACCCATTTGCCGGCTTTAAGATGTCAGACATCCAGGAGGCAGCACCAGAGAATTCACTTACTGACTTCCCTAAAGACGGAGTTTTCTTCAGAGTAGTTTACAGAAACCTTGCTTTGATGTTGTTTTGTTGCAAAATAAACATTACTACAGTTGCTGAAAATGGTGAAAATTTAATAAAGGCCCACTCTCAAGGTCCAAAAATGTAATAAGCGCTCAGGGCGGTTAATCGAAAAAATACGGTACACCTTTTTCATATTTGGGTCAAGATGACGAGATTGAATGGGGACCCTCCATGTAAGAACGCCTAATTTTAAGCTGAGACTGAGCTAAGACTGAACTTGCTTATTTTTGAGGCGATATGTGCCTCAAAACGTTCTTGGGAAGTTTTTAAATTACATGTTGTAAACATTAACGAAATTCACTCGTCTACTAAAACCATCTGCTATCAAAAGAGAATTAAACTAATGAGTGTTGTCAGTCAACTAACATGCCGTAAAGCTTGGAGGCAAATTCCAACTATAAAATGGACACTAAATTTATCTTATCACTGGCTGTACATCCCAACCAGCTGTGAGGCTGACCGGTTGGCTATTTGCATACACTTTTTTATATAGAGAGGGTCCCCAACAGGTTTTTCAGATGCGGGATTTCCTTAAAAGTTGCAGGACGGGATTCAGGATTTTAAAGCAAAATGCATGGGGGCAAGATTCGGGATTGAGAGTATGTTCAGGATGTGGGATGCCAATAATAACCGTTGGGATTACGGGATTGAGCGAAAATTTGGATCAGGTTGACGAGATTAAAAGGGACCCTCTATATAAGAACGCCTAACCTTAACTTAACCTTTCTTAAGGTAAGTTGTTGTTTACGTCTAGGAAAACCAAAATAAACCCAGTGACGGATCCAGAGGGAGGGGACTTAATGACTGGACAAAATTATTTTATCACTTAACTCAAGAGACGAATGCTTCAAAGCTGGGCACTGCACGATTAGAATATCGCCTTTCATGGCAGCAAGGTTCTTCGCAGTAGAAAGGAATGTGTAACGGTTTGGAATGATGTAGTAACGAAGTAAGTTATAGACTTCACCAGTGTGCACAACTTGGTCCTCCGTTATTAAAATTTTCTGGATCCGCCCCTGAAATCAATCATAGAGTGGCGAGTGCACGCTTTCCCACTTTGCACTGGTTGCATGTGTCAGAAAAAATTATAAGTTTCTGTTGTGTTCCTCGTTTCCTTAGAGCTTTTTTAGTTCTTTGTACCCGCCGTGATAACATAACAGATACAAGAGAGAACTGAATGAAAAATGCTGACATTTTGAAAATCCCTTATATATTTGCGAGTGATATAACTCAGGGGCACTTAACGACTGTTTTATGTAAAATATCTGTTGGGAGAAGCAAATATTGCCAAGAATTTTCTATTTCTTGATGACGGCTGAAAATTTCTATACGACCGTTTCATTATTCATGTACAATTTTCGAAGCTTATCTAATTAATTCCCTACGATTTCCTGAAGTTCAAGTTCCGCATTTTACTTCCCAAGTCAGGCTATTTTTCGTAAAAAAAAAGGAAACCTAAAATTTTCGGTTTCAAAAATGTGATAGAGAGAGGAATTAGAAAATGTCTCAATTTCGTAATACGTCAAATTTCATCTTAAGTTATCGGGAAAATAATTTTTCAAGCCCTTCTTGTAATTTCGATAAGACTTAAGTTTCCCTAGATGCAAATTTCACAGCGCCGCTTAAAGTATTTAGGAGGAAACCGTCGTTGGATGCCCCTGATAACTGTCTACTGAAAGGCGGACCATTACCAAGGTATATGAAAGATACTGGAATGTTCGATGCGATATCAATAGTGTCATTCTCAAGTATCGACACTTTTCAGGCAAATCTGGTTTGGTATCGGTACATCTTTCAAAATTACGTTTACCTTTTATTTTATAGCTGGCGAATCAGAGTGCTAATAAAAGAAGTACCATCTCTCTCATTGCTTCAATGAGGTTTTTCTATCACCGTTATCTGATAATAGTAAGCTGCAGCTCTGTTTCTCTTGACGTGTTATCTATGCTGGTGCTACTATTAATGTTACCTGTCTTACCTACCCACAGAGACCCTAAAGTGAAAGAAGAAGGCTTGGTCCCCAGCGGAGCGGACGGATAAGGGCGCGAGGGATGATGGGAAGTAAAGAAGAGGGAAAACTGGATCGAAGGATGCGGAGGAGCTCAAATTGCGTGACATTAAAGTCATATCGTCATAAACAAACAAACAACAACAACGAAAAGCACAAAGTCAAAAACTCAGGATACAGTTCTTTATGTGGTTGTTTCATAGAATACTTCGATATTTGTTGGTGTGAATTTGTAGCTTCCAGCATAGAATGTACATTTAGAACCAGATAAAGAATATCCTGGGGGGAGGAGGTATCTATAGCCACAAAAAGTAGAAGAATCCTGGTTACTAGCAGCGTTGTTTGATATAACCATATCAAGCCAGCCAAATATTGGTCCTTTTGAATCACACGTTGTTACAGCTCCATAGTGCTTATTAGGCTTGACTCGCAGCTTAACGGGATTGTACACAGCGTGTCCAGAACCGTTGTTATTGGTCAATGAGTATATAAAGGCTTTTCTTGAATATCTAGCAGTACAAGTATCTAGGAAATAATCACGACATTTTACAATTCTTACTGACCTTACTAAAGGCGCTCATAAAAACTCAACTTCTAAGAATATTCAATGATCCGGACTTCAGTTTAAATAGTGAATGCAAGTCCGGCTTGACATACAAACATCCCTAGACATTCCATGCATTACTGTATTTTTAAAATTTGCTGTATTTGTATAAATTTTCCAATGTTCCTGAAAATGTGTCATGAGCCACAAATCCATTTGTTGTCTTGCTGAGTACAGTAATGACACTGTAGTGACTTTGAAATTAGTGGGGAAGGAGAAAATTATTCTAGAAAATTATAGGCAGTTTTAGAAGTGTAACAAACTTCCATGATGAGCAGAAACGGAGCTCTCCCTAAACTGGAATCCCTCAGTGTTGGTAGAAAAGAGCAGGGTTTTTGTCCCGAAAAGAGATTTATGCAAACTAGAATCGTAACTGAATTCAAATCTATCGAATTATGACAGAACCTGAAACCTACTTGAAGTCCATAAAATACAAATGACAGACGGTATCACACATGCATCTGATACATTTTTTTTTTCAACCTCTGCATGGCTGAACCACTTGATTCCTTGTTTCATTTAGCTTTTAAAGGTAATTTTGGTCATAAATGTTCATGGATGTGACTACATTGGCATTTTACAATGGAAAATTTTCCTTTTTATCCTTCTGATTACCGTGACCCGGGTGGGGGGTAGTTCTTAAGCCACACTTTGCTTCATTAAAAAGAGTCCGCAGTTCATAGTTAGAGAGCTTTAAAGATAATCCAGTAAAATTAGGCTGGGATCAGAGGCGTCCTCTCCTTTCCACTGGCCCTTTAATGGGTTTCTGTAGGAAATGGGCGAAACCAAATTTTGCAAGATTTTGTTTATTGATGTTGTGATTTAAACCTCAAATCAACGATAAAAAAGTAACTTGACGTTTCGATGGTTTCATGTCATCATTATCAAAAGACAGGAAATTAACATGATTCGTGGAAGTATTTACTCTCTTTGATAATGAGGACATGAAGACAAGTTTCTTTTTTATCATTGACTTTTGTTTTAAAATGTATTTCTAAATCGATTCGATTCTTATAAGATTTAAACCTGACCGGGATAATTTAATTTAAATTGTGAATTAGAGAAAAACAAACTTCTGGTAGTTGTATTCGAGTGATGTCATCATGAAAATGGCCAATTCTGATTGCTGAGGAATTACTTTCTCGCCTTGAGTTGTACGTAAACAGAAAAACATCAAGTCAAAATTAAGCCGCTGTACTACTTTATCGTTCTTCATTGTTAGCAAGCAAAATAAACAAGTCCTGATTCTCGTGGTACATGTACTCACCCGGGTGGCTTTTCCATGATACGTCACTGTATCCACCAAATATAAAACTGCCGACTTGAATGATAGTTACAGTAGGTCCCTTGTCATCACATTTCCCGTGGAACGTAGACGCCGCCCAGCCGTCCTGTTTAGCGTGCCAACACGTCACAAACCTACTACGGACTGAGCTAATGATCACGGGCTCCAAAAACAACGTCAAATTCTCCAAGTACCTACTGTCGTTGCCAAGAATAGTTGATGCATCAAAACCACCTTAGAAAAGAAATCTTTGGCTCATATCTTTGGTATGATCGCGCGCTGAAAAGCGCATCAATCTAGCAAATTATGGCACTCAGTGTAGCGTGCACGGATAGTCGTGCTAAAGGTATATGAGACTCTCTATGGGCGAAGTCGCGACAATCGCTTGATGAAACGACAATCTTAGAGATTAATCCCCCGTCCAAATGTATCCGGATATTTTTGAATCCGCAACTTTTTCTTTGCAGACAGAACCCGCTTCCGTCCACGCGTATCCGGTGAATCTTGCATACGAATCCGCAACTTTCTGAATCCGCTCTCCAGGGAGGAAATTGTTAAATACATACGTTATAAATCCGGAATCGTGTGGACGCTCAATCTGAAATGTTACACGTCGCCATCTCCTAACCCGTGAGGGACGCGGGGGAGAGAGACCCGACGGGTTAAGGGATGGAGACGTATGCCATTTTAGACTAGTGGGCGTTAAATCCCGATATTTTCTTATACAGTAACGTTTTGCCCAGTTCGTTACCGTGAATATTCAAGACGGTGCCCAGCCCAATATTATCGCTTCTTTACTTCTGGCACTTCAGTTTCAAGTCTTTTTTAGTATAACGTGTGCGTAGTAAAACCTACAATCAGGGACAAAAGTAGTTGACACACTTGTCTAAAACGGGTGCTTTTATCAACAATTTCATACATTTACTATTTAATCCTATTTAAACGCCGTAAATCCGTCCACCCCCGAATCAATGTTGTTTGTAGATAAAGAAAGGGAGGGGATAGGTATGTTCACTGTTCAAAAGGGGCCATTTTATAGAAGTGTCTCAACACTTTTATCCCTCATTGTAACTATGATTACTGTACACTTTAATTATGCCAAACGGCGGTTTGACATTTTGAAGCTTCTTTCCATGTAGGAAGGACGAATTGGACGCCGTAAACTTGTTGAACGAGTGAAATATGGTCCTTGATGGGACAATTTTATCAGTGAAACAGACTGGCGATAAAATCTTCGCGTGAGCCGAAGATCCCTTTACAAATTAGCTCACGAACTGAGGGTGAATCCGGATACGTGTAGACGGGCAAATTCGATTTGAATACGGACACGTGTGGACGTGGAAATTTTTGAATTCTCAAAGAAGAATCTGGACGGGGGCTAAAGGTACGATCGCACTGCCATTTCGATAAAGTTTGAGAACGTCACTCGTGCGACAATGGCAAGGAAATTTGCCAAAAAGTGCGCTGTACGTTCAGGTTTTTTTTCTGTTTATCAGTGAAACCTGTTGTAGTACTGCGGTTAGGTTAAAACACACTTTATTCACGAACGTTACACTCCGAACTCAGAACGCTAACCGACTCGAATAAATTACAACACACGCTATCTATAGTACATGCCAATTACGTAACTCCCGTGTGTATTACATCACATTCATTCTCTCGCTCCTACGCGCTTGCATTAGCATCGTATACACTACATTCCCTTCTTTGATCAAATTTAGCAGGAAGGCAGTTTTTTTTAAAGGCTGCAAAAACCCTAAATGTTCAGCAAAACAAAGTCTTTGAATTAAACTAGACAAAACAGGAAAAAAAAAGAATAAGTCCTAAACATCCAGGACAAAGTCTTTATAGCGCGCAGGCTGTCTTATAGTTCGGGTCGACCTCCGCACAGGCCTTTCCGCTGCGTTATCTTCCTTTTCGGTAGAATGCCCAGCTTGTACTTGGGAATTTTCAGATACTCCTGTAGTCCCTGGAATTCCGCTTGGCCCTGATACCTCTGTCGTCTCCGGAACTCTGCTTGGCCCTGGCTCATCTGTCTGTACTGTAGAACTTGCTTGTACCACTTGGTCTTCGTTGCCATTGGATACACCGTTGTGCTCGTTGTACCTCTTTACGAACGCAGTGTTCCTTTTCAGTTGCACACCAGCTTCGTTCCTAAGCGTTACCTCTGTTCCTGTCCTCTGAACCACCTTAAAAGGAGCAGGGTTGAAGTTGGTAGACAGCTTGTTCGTTTTTTCGGCTTTCAAAAGTACCGTGTCACCAACACGTATGCTCTTGGGCGTGGCACCTCTCTTGAGATCTGCATAAGCTTTGCCCTTTAATTTACTTGACCAATCCCGCTCTCGCACTTCTTCGCCTGGCACCCCGACCGTCTCTCTCCTTAACTCTGGCAATTTGGACCTAACCTCGTGGCCAAACATCATGTAACAGGGGGTAGTCCCCGTCGTCGTTTGCGGAGTGGATCTGTACGCCGTCAACCATACAAGCAATTCAGTTCTCCAGTTCTTTCCTTCTAAATGTGCAATCTGTAGACATTTAAGTAACGAGCGATTTTGGGGTTCCACCTCTCCATTAGCTTGAGGCCACAACGGCGTCGTTTTCCTGTGCTCAATACCATTTGTGCGTAAATATGCTTCAAATTCTTCGGATATGAACTGGGGCCCATTATCTGTCCTTAAAGAGAACGGAAAACCGAATCTGGCAAACATGGGTGCAAGTGCTTCGATGACCTTGGCACTTGTTGTAGACTTCAGAATAGCAACTTCTAAGAAACGACTGTAGTAATCGATCACCACCAAAACACTCTCTCCTGTGGGTAGGGGTCCCAGCAGGTCTGCTCCACAATCCTGCCAAGGAGCACTTGGAGGAAGAACGCGGGACATCGGCTCAGGAGGGTTAAATCCAGAAGTGACCTGGCAGCCATGACAAACTTTACAAAATTTCTCAACTTCCTTGTCCATTCCCGGCCACCAAACTTTACTACGGAGCCGATACTTCGTCTTCACTATACCCTGGTGCCCTTCTTGTGCCAGCCGCACCACCCTGTTGCGCAGGAGCTTGGGAACCACAATCCTTGTGCCGCGAAGCAATAGCTCACCATAGACGCATAATTCGTCCTTGACTTGTGCATACGAGGGAAGTGTACACCGGTCCCAGTCCCCTGACCTCACGCAACTCTTTACTATCGTCAATTCTTCGTCAAAATAGGAAGCTTCCTCAATTTCTGTAGGTGATAGAGCAACGGGTACACGGCTTATAGCAATGGCTCTGACAAAGTCGTAGTCTTCTCCATGGTCCACTTGATCCAAGGAGTTCAAACGGGACAACGCGTCGGCTATATTTGTCTTCCCTGGGCGGTACACCACTTTAAAATCGTACCCTTGTAGTCTTAAGACCCATCTCTCTATTCGGGCGCAAGGCTTTGAGGTGCGCGAGTAGACACGCTCTAAAGGCTTGTGATCTATTTCCAGCTCGAAGCTCTGTCCGGAAACGTACATGTTGAACCGTTCACACGCCCAAACCAAGGCAAGTGCCTCTTTCTCTGTTTGGCTGTAGCGTCGTTCCACGTCAGTTAGGCTCCTCGACGCGTAGGAGACAACTCTCCACATTCCCCCCTGCTGCTGGGTGAGAACCGCTCCTAATCCAACTGGAGACGCATCGGCAATGATTCGCGTTCTGCAGCCAACCTTAAAATAAGCCAGTGTCTCTGCCTGGGTGATTAGACGCTTCAGTTCCTCAAACTCAGGTAAATTAAGGCATGGGCCTCAATTTGCCTTAATTTGCTCTCCTCAAAAGTGAGGGGGTGGTCTATATCTAAGAGCTTTAGATGAAGAGACATAAAACTTTGCCAGCTAACCACATTTTTAGTTTGTGTCAATTTTAAGCTTTAAAATTATGCAAATTAGGTCACGTGACCTCTATCGGCTGAAAAAGCTTGTTCTTCAAACGGCAACACTTTTTCGTATGACTTCAATTATTTTACCAGTTGCATAATGTTAATGCCGTTTAATGTATCACTTCTGTGCTTGGCCTTTTTTAGATATTTAAAATGGAAGGCGTTAAGATGGGATACAACTGCTTTGGGGGACTAGGTCTAGTTGAAAAAGCCGTTTATTTTCTAAAACAGTAAAAAATTCAAAAAAGGTCAAGCACAGTCTTGTAGAAGCTTGCATTACACATTGTCCTAAACCAGTCCGGTTTAATAACTCACAACAAAAAGTGTTGCCGTTTTTGTTTAAAGACGTTTTATTGTTTTCTGGCCGTGTGGAGTCACGTGACAACATTTGCATAATTGAACATGACCTAATTGACAGAAACCACACATGTATGTATCTGGCAAAGTCTCATCTTTCTACTGCCTACGTGCTCAGAGATAGACCACCCCCCATCACTTTTTTACTGAATCATTGGGGACCCATGCCTTAATTTACCTGAGAAGGCTGTTTGCTGCTCTTTACCCCAGTGAAACACGATGCCCTTCCTGGTTAACTCTTGAATAGGCTTGGCCACGGACGCCACGTCAGGCATGAACTTAGCGGAATATTGGACAAGACCCATAAACGATCGCACTTCACTTGCGTCTTTGGGAGATCTAGCATCTCTTATAGCAGCAATCTTCTCTTCGGATGGGTTTATGCCGTCACTAGTCAGCTCGTGACCAAAGAACGTAAGCCTTGACAATCTAAACTCGCACTTGTCTCCGTTCACCGTCAACCCCACTTCACTCAGCCTATCTAACACCGCAAAAAGACGCTTGTCATGTTCCTCCACGTCACACCCATGAACAATGAGATCGTCCGCAATGTTCGCAACCCCAGCACAACCCCTTAACACATCTCTAATGATCTGCTGATATTTCTCCGGCGCCGACGTTACGCCAAACATCAACCGCTTGTAACGATAAAGCCCTCGATGCGTGACAAAGGTAGTGATGTGGCGACTTTCCTCACTGAGTAAAATCTGGTGAAAACCCCACTTGAGATCTATCTTGCTGAACACCGTACTGCCATTCAAGTCGTGTAACAGCTCCTCAACGGTTGGAATTGGGTGACGCTCTCGGACGATTGCTTCATTTGCACGACGCATATCAACACAGACTCTTACGTCGCCATCGCCTTTGGGAACCACCACCAACGGCGAAATCCATCCTGACGGCCCCTCCGGCACTTCCTCTATAATGTCAAGCTCCAAAAGTTCATCCAGCTTTGCATCCACTTTCTCGCGTAACCCGAACGGTATCCTGCGTACATGCTGCGCTACAGGCTTCACCGACTCATCAATGTAGCTTAAGCTCGTAGCCCTTCAAAAGACCAACACCACTAAACAAGTGCTTGTATTTCTCTCTGACATCCCCGTCCGATCGCCCACCGTCAACACTGTTTGTCTGAAAAGGACCAATACGCAACAGGTTTAGCGCCTCGGCAGTCTCTCGGCCCAACAGCGTGCGACCATCGCCTTCAACCACTACAAAATCAGCATTACTTCCGTTTTCAAACCCAGCCAGCGTGACATCTGCCGTGAACGTTCCTAGGGTCGGTAAAGGTTCTGTACCACCATAAGCAAAAAGTTCCTTTGCAGATTTGCGAGATTCACAGTTAATCCCCTTTTGCTTTAACAACTCCCAGGTCTGCTGGCCCATAACATTACATGAGGCTCCCGAATCAATGAGAACATCGGGTACGTCTACACCACCAATGACCAGCGTTACCAAAGCGCTCCTCTGTTCCTTGCGATCATTCACCTGTTCCACTGAAAAGGCATAATCGGGTCTTTGCGAACGACCTGGTGTAGCGAAGTCTCCTTTGTCTTCTTCTCCAGGGCTAGGTCTTCCAGTCACGAGGTTCGTCTCTCGCCCTCCGCGTCCGCGTCCACCTCGACCCAGTCCACCAGCACTCCTGCCTCCTCTGCCGCGTCCGCCTCTGCTACTCTCAGGCCCTCTAGATCCCGAATGGGTCCTGCTTAGCTGATGGAGTCGAGGGCATTTAACTTTGAAATGGCCTGTTTCGCCGCACTTCCTGCAAGTTTGACCACGCGCCGGGCACTTTTTGTCTTGACTGAAGTGTCCTTCTTGTCCGCAGCTAATCTTTGCTTTCCTGGGATTTTTGTTTCCATACAGCCTGCCACCCACTGCATTGACCTGGTTATCTGCTTGGTCGGTACCGTATTGCTTCAGTTGTCGATCAACCGCTTCTTGGGATCTTGCAACACGCAACAATTCATCTAACGTAACAGTTCCTTCCTTTTCCAGAAATTTCCGGCGTAAATGGCTCGAATAACACTTGTCTATGAGCTGATCGCGAATGTAGTCATCCTCGCCGGCGCCAAAATCACAAGTCGCTGCTCGCTGATGCAATCTACAAACGAACTGATCAACTGTCTCTCCGATCCCTTGCGAAATTTGTCGAAACAAATGTCTCTCAAAGGGAATGTTCGCCTTTGGCACGAAATGGTCGTCCAACACCTTTAACGTTGCTTCAAAACTTGCATCTCCACCCTCACCAGCTAGTGTGAAATAAATTTCTTGCACATCCATACCAGCGACATGCAACAGCAAAGCACGTTTTGGAGCGTCGTTCGATACACCTTTCCCGGTCACATACAAACTGAACGCTCGCTTCCACTTCTTCCATCGCTGACTTAAATTGTGCGCCTCTCCTTTTGGATTAAATGGTTCCAATCCACTGACATCTAAAGTAACAGAAGTCATTCCAGAACCGCCAACAGCACCGCTCGTAGTACCGCTTGTCGCGTTAGTTTCGCCCGATCCACCGCCTCCCGGCATCGCTGAAATAAATCCTTGACGAAATCCTCGACGAAATCCACAGCGAAATTTTCAACGAAACTCTTGAAACCTCCGTGAAATCCTCGAAATATCCTCGAAATATCCTCGAAATATCCTCGAAGTATCCTCGTCGCCAATGTAGTACCGCGGTTAGGTTAAAACACACTTTATTCACGACCGTTACACTCCGAACTCAGAACGCTAACCGACTCGAATAAATTACAACACACGCTATCTATAGTACATGCAAATTACGTAACTCCCGTGTGTATTACATCACATTCATTCTCTCGCTCCTACGCGCTTGCATTAGCATCGTATACACTACACCTGTCGCATGTTTTTTTTTTATTTTCATGTTACCTTCGCCGTCATCGTGGTTGCTCGAGCTCCCCAGTAGCGTTACCATGCAAAACAACTATTGATGTGCGACGATTTCGTTGAAAAGCCGACGATTTAATGGGAAAAGGGCGACGAAAACGACGTCCGCAGTTACTCGCCAATAGAGAGGCTCGTATATGAAAACAGTTACATTTATTATCATGAATGCTTGCTACAATTCTTACTAAATACTGCGGTTCATTTGCCTTCAATAATCCTCCTAGTGAACTTGAGCTCTGCGTTTAGGTCCCCCACCTCTTTTGCATATATGCAGTCACTAATCCAAAACTGCTCTACAGGTAGAAAGCCTGTAATCTTTCCCGGGTATATTACGAATCAACAGTTGCTCTAAGCCTCTATTTCCAACCGAGGCTAAGTGCGATATGAAAATGACTTTTTATTCTCATGCAAATAAAAGTCATTTTCACGAGAAAGATTTTGCACTCAGCCTCATTTTGAAAGTGATAATTCGGAGATGACCTATTTTTGTGAAAGGTTTAAACCCAACTTTTACTTTTACGCGCCATCCTTCATACATTGCTTCTCTTTCATTTGCGAATGTAATTAAATTTTTCCGCTCATACGCACGTAAAAATTACGCGACAGTCGAAATCCACCCTATAAAGGGCCTAAAGCAGTTGTTGCCTTCTCTAAACGTCAATTTAGCACCCAAGGCGCAGTACCAACTAATGCCCGGTTTACATGAAGGTGGGGGACTCCAGATAGGTGAGGTAACATGTGGCGGGTCACCCCACCTATCATGTTAATGTGATCAAATTAAAATGAGAAATTATATGGACAGGCGGGTTACCCCACTTAAGGGGGTCTCCTCACCTACCTGGGGTCCCCCACCTCCATGTAAACAAGCGCTAAGCCATCAATCCCTATTCCCCTCCAACTTTCACTCGGATCATTTTATATTTCTGGGCTTAATACTACACTCACGTGTTTTAATGCACTTTTTCCCAGGCCTACATGTGCAGTTGTAAGAGCCAGCTGTGTTTGTACAATTCGCATTTTTGTGACAATCATGGCTTCCCTTTTCGCATTCGTCGATGTCTGAGTAAGGAAACGAAAAAAACAAGAAATGAATATAAATTAAGTCTTATTATGACATTTATCAGCAAGTTTTACCTTTACAAATGCTCCCATTGCCTTGGTAGCCAGGTCTGCACGTGCAGTTGTAAGAGCCAGGAATGTTGGTACAGATCGCATTTATGTGACAGTCATGACTTCCATCCTTGCATTCATCAATTTCTGGAGGGAGTAGAAATTTAAATATTAAGTTACAAAGAAAACTAAAACTACTTGCAGAAAAATGAAGTGAAGGTTTGTATAGTTAATTATACCATTACAAATGCTCCCATTTCCTGTGTAGCCAGGCCTGCACGTGCAGTTATATGAGCCAGGAATGTTGGTACAGTTCGCATTTACGTCACACTGATGAGTTTTATCCTTGCATTCGTCCAGGTCTAAAAAAAAGAAAAGAAAACAATACAAGCCACTAACCTCGTACATCGTATATAAACCTAGACATTCAACGCAAGAAAATAATCAATTTTGTAGCATGCTGATTGCTTCAGGGAAGACTGATTGTTTCACTCATTGCGAGAAGAGCAAACATATTCCCGGGGGGTACCCCCGATAATGGCTTTTACGGGGAAGTTTCACCCTAATTGCGAAAGGGGTACCTTTTCCAGACTTCAGGTGTATGAAAGGGTTAGGATTTCAATAGTTGAAGTATATGAGAGGGTAGGGAAATCTGTGTCATTTCGGTCTGTAAAAGGACCTAAAAGGGCCAACAGAAGGATTTTATGGCTGTGAAAAAGTCGAGAAAATTTCGTGGCCAGTTTTGTGATTTATTCACAGTTTGAAGACAGTACATTTACATGCAAAGTTCTAAACTAGGTATTTGAAAGAGGTACCATTTGTCAATGGAAGGTACTGGGTAAGGGAGGGGTACTTTTCCTCTCAAAAAATATTATATAGAAAGGTAAGGAGCTAGACCTAAAGGTAACCTGAGATCAGGCCCAATTTTAGCGGTTCTCATACATTCTCTCTAACGGCTACCGCTTTTCGTTTCGGCTTGCCTGCCGGAATGTTATTTTCAAAGCGATACGAAAATAGAGCCTGATCTCAGGTTAACCTCAAGGCGGAGCTTTCCAGGATAAAACTTTTCTAAGGAACCCCCCACCAGGGGGGGGAGGGGCACAAATGTTTTCTAACTCTGACAACGTTGATTATTTGTTATCAAGCAACATTCACTTGTTCTCTATTTCTGGGTAGGATACACTTTCGTTTTTCTAACCATCGCGAAGGATCTCGAAGCAACGGGCCACGGTGAGTTTCTAGTTTACTAGCTGCCTATTCCGTGTATGAGAGACGTAGACGTAGACGTATTTGCAGTTTGTTTCTGCTCGAAAAGTATTCTTTGTGGCGCAGTCAAGCGAAAACAGGACTGAATATGTCTGCGTTTGCTGGCCACATAATTACCTGTTTCGCAGAGTTCTCCCGTGTAACCAGACTGGCATTCGCAAAGAAACCCCTTATCCGTATATCCAAGGAAACACTTTGCATTGTTCAAGCAAGGTTTGTAGGCACAAATATTCTAGTGAAAATGAAAGCGTAATTTAGACTTCATAAAATTTTAATATTATATTGTGGACTTCGAGCAGTTCCCTTTTCAGTCTGTCGAATCGAGACTTGGCAGAGCTCGAGAGAACGAACCAGTCGAGAAGGAGGGTCTGAATGGAGTTTAATGCTTGGTGTTATTTTCCCATAATTTACTACTTCCCGCAAAAGGTTTGTAATTTTCATTGCCTCTATCTGGGAAAAAATTATTGTTTCAAAGAATCTTTACAGTTAGTGTTTAAATGCCTAAACTTTAACTATTTCATGTTACAAAGCCAAAAAATAAAGTGTTTAGTGTTATCTAGGTACCTTCATTCAGACCCTCGAGAAGGGAACTGGAGAGAGGCTTTTCCTTTTCTGTCTTTCCTCTTGCGCGTTTGCCTCGCTCGCTCGCTCGCTCACACGTAACATTCTCGCACGCGCGACAATCCTGAGAGACTGCAAGTAGTCAGTGCCCCCTATTACCATTCTCATCATTATTTTATATCTTCTTCATCGCCGCTCGACAGATCTTTGGCTAGACTTTGTAAAAGTCCGTTTTGGTTGGTTCCCCTTGTCTGGAGGGAAGACGGACAAGTGCAATCTTCGTGAGAGAACCGAAGACACGAGCGGTCACTATAACAGTTAACCGAAACAGGAAACCGCATATGAAAAATCTCTGACACCCAACGGTCGTCATCACTATCTTTTGATCGTCATTGTCATCATCACTTCCATAGCTAAAACTTCAGTTTTTGGGCTATGAACAGTTAAACGCTTACCACAAGATAATTCACAACCATTGCCGTCATTAATTTATTCCAGTGAAATTCGCCATACCTGTGTACCTTTATACGTCCAACGTTCTCTTCGTTTTAAATCATTAGGATGCTGTATGTGATCTGAGTTACACAACTCACAGACCCTCATATCATTAATTGCTGGACCAATGTTGATTGCCACGCACTCTCTCCGGTAAAGACATTCCGTTTCGCAAGATTTGCCTGCTCCAATGGAAAGGTTTAAAAAGGTGTGGCCTTGAAGATACATATAAAGGCCATACTCCCGATCAAAAAACTTCAAATACCGAATGTGGCCACAGGTATCTAAAAAAAAAAATAGCGATGTTAACGTCTATTTTATTTTATTTATTTTATTAGCTTTGCCCTGAAGAATACAGGAAAAAAAAAGACACTGAAGATATGCGAATACTAGTAATAATAACGTAAGAATACACTAATAATAACTTAAATATTTGGGCAGGGACACCGCAACAGCTAAAGCCAATAACTGCCGACCCAAAAAATAATAGGATATAAAAGTAGCAATTTAAATCACATGCAGCAGCTAATTTCTTGGTCTAAAAACCTGGCTGTGTTACGTTTCAAGCAAATACTTTTCAAGCTCCTTGGAGAGTCCGGGTCATAGTTTATTGCTAGAGCCCGCGAGTAATAACCGTAAAGAACAGATTTAAGTTCTCAAAAGCAACATTATCTAGGTCACGTCTAGTAATAAACAGGTTCCAGATTCTAGTGGTTCTAATGAAAAAAGATTTCTGAAAGGTAGAAGTCCTGCATTTTTTAGGCACAAGAGATTGAGAGCTCGTTACGGATATACGGGTCCTTCGCGCGCATTCGAGCACGAAGGGAACAGCAGACGGATCTAAGTGAGTCATATCATGTGTAGCCTTGTAAAAGTATACTAGATCTAGTAACTCGTGCCAGTAGCACACAGGAAGTAGGTTTACAGACATTAGTCTTTCTTTGTAAGAGATATTTGTTAAAAAAAGGCAAGCAAAGAATGAATTTGATGGCACGTCTTTGGATACTTTCGAGTTTAGAAATTAGTTCAATGCCTTGGGGCGCCCAGATCTGGGTTGCGTAGCCAAGATGAGCACGAACTAGCCCGAGGTATAATGTGCGCCTTACGGAAGTACTGTGAATAAACCTAGAGTTCCTCCTAACGAAACCTAACAACTTGTTTGCGCGTGCAGCTTGGTGAGAGACTTGGCGCGCCAAGTCAAGTCACAGTCCAAGGAGACGCCAAGGTCACGCTCTACGTCACAGGACTTGATGGTACTGCCGTTAACCTCGTAGCTCGTACAGATGGGCTTGCGCTTCCTCGTAATGGTCTGAAGCTTGCATTTCTTATCATTGAAGGTTAGGCCAGAGGCAGCGGACCATGAAGACAGATTATCCAGATCTTGTTGGAGAGCGGCGCCATCATCCTCGGACATCACTACCTTGTATACTTTAGTGTCATCTGCAAACACTGCCACTTTGCTATGAGGATAGAATCCGGAAGGTTGTTCACATATAACAAGAAGAGAGCAGGTCCGAGTATTGAACCCTGTGGGACTCCAGAGGTGACAAACACGTTGGCGCCTGCCACAGAGATACGCGTGAAACCATGTGAGCAGGTTCCCTCCGAGGCCAGTATCCCGCAGTTTTTCCATAAGGAGGTCATGTCTAACCTTATAAAAGGCTTTGGACATGTCTAAATACACACAATCTACTTGACCAGCTCTATCAAGAATAGCACCGATGTAATCTAGGGTCTCTAGTAAATTTGTGACACATGAGCGTCCACTCCGAAACCCGTGCTGACCGTCCGCAATCAGATCTTCTAATCGGTCATTGATGCGGTTCAAGACACAACGTTCGATGACTTTAGAAATAATACAAATTAGGGAGATAGGCCTATAGTTTTCAACATGATCTTTTTCATCCTTCTTCTAGACAGGCACTACATTGGCCAATTTCCACTCAGACGGTATGTAGCCTTCCCCCAGAGACCTGTTGAACAGCTTGCATCGTGATGGAGCAATAGTAGTGGCGGTTTCCTTTAGGATTCTAGCCGAGATCTCATCTGGACCAGTGACTTTGTTTGGGTCTAGTGATTTTAGGACAGCCTCAACTTCGCCGACGTGCAACACAATATCACTAAAGGGGGGTTCTGCGGCAGGGAATTTCCCTGCGCCGTATGTCCTCTTGAGGAACAGAGAACACTGAAGTGAAATAGTTATTAAAAATGTCTGCGATTTCTTCTGGGGTGTCAGCGGTTGCACGTAGGTTACCAGTCGCCATGGAGACACTTTGTGGTCTGTTGCGCGACTTTGAGCGAGTTGTTGATCCTAGCCAGAGACGTTTGGGATTGATGTTGAACTTGATGTTAGCAGACTCAAAGAACTCGTCCCTGCTTTCTTTGATCGCGCGCTTGACTTGTGAACGCAGAGTTTGAAATTTAATTTTTAGTGACTCCGACGGGTGCAATTTTAGTTTCCTGCGTACGGTTTCCTCTTTCTTGATAAGATTGATAACGGCACCTGTGAGCCAGGGCACAGGGTTTCGACCTCTCAATCGCTTGTTTGGAGTATTGTCTTTCACCGCAGCAAGAAATAGGTGTTTCCAGGTCTGCCAGCAGCTTTCAAGGTCGCCCTCACCCACCACACTTATAAGATTAACTGAACGCAGAGCGTCTCAACCACTTAGTCTTTTTTTAATATTCCACTACTAATTTCACCAACGTTAATTCAGAGAACAAGTTAAAAAACATCAATGCAGTCTTTCGTTCTCCCACGCTCCTCGACCGTGATTGTTTATAAATGAATAACCGATCCTTTGCAGACTGCTTGCTGGACAAAAACATAACACCACCACCACCACCACCAACAACAACAACAATAACAGGTTACCATGAATGTTAAGCAGCTAAATATTCCACAATGAAGTTTAAAAAACTTTGGAACTAAAATGGAGTATCTGTGAAATGATCAGAAGCTATCGATCGCCGGAGAGAGAACTGATGTGAGGTATGTTGGAAGCTTTTAGTTATTTTTCTTCTACTTTCAGACTTTTGCCTACCCCAGCGAGTTTTTGAATGAAAAAAGGGATTTTCCCCTAAAAATTTCGCCAGAAATAATAGCCTGCCATGTCGAAGCCGGTAGACAACCTACAGGAGCTTTCCCACCGACCGAAGTAAATAACAAAACGAAATAACTAATTAATAAGTTTCTTGAAGGATCACTAACTAGGAATTTAAATAAAATACTTCATGACAACCGTCAAACTGTTGTCGCTTAATTTCAGCCTTTCTTTTAGTTTATAATCTTTTATGCAGTGAGTAAATTGTTGCATTTCAAAGGGCAAGCATTGTCGTCTCCACCTCAACGTCAAATTGATGTAGTTGCACACTCGTTTAATTATTGATTTAAAGTTCCGTATAAGAGAAAGAGCCTATAAGGCCCTTAAACCATGTCGATCATCCTACCCCTTCTAAAATTCGACACCGAATTTCAAGTGATTTTTTTTAAAAACAGTTTTTAATTTCCAACTGATGTGGTTCTAGAAACACATCCCCCATCGCCCTTGGGCGGGCACAAAAATTGTAGGCTAATCTATGTTGCCGTACATGATCGTTTGTGTCGTAAGCTCAACAACGCAGCTGCATTTTTCTTGTCACTTTTTTCCCTTTCCTAGTTGAATATCATGCATAAAAATACGCGTCTAAAATTGCACTAGATATAGATTTTCTTCAAAGTTTGGTAATCGGTTAATTAACGTTTAAGGTTGGCCTCGGTGCAGTCTGGACCCAAAAGAATGTCTGATACTGATTCCAAGTAAGAATTGTAGGGTTTTTCTTCTGCTACGTCGGAAAGGTTCAGTTGAGTCATTGATTGTCCTCAAAAGAGAAAGGTTTGCGTGAATAACTAGAAGTCTGATTCATAAAAGTTCAAACAAAACTTTTCCTGTCATAGCTACGGCCGGTCTGTGTTTTTCTCTCATTAACCTCATCAGCTTGAGTCATGAACTTTTAAGATATTCGTTGTAGTTGTTCTATTTAAGTTCTCAACAATTTTCTTTCGTTATGGATGTAACAAATTTAGGGGTATGTGGTCAAACATTTTGAACTAAACGTTAATGCCTTTTAAATAAAAACATAAAAGTCATTTCAAAAAGACTTGTCCAGTGCCGTCAAAACCGTTATCAAGAATTTTGTTCCTGTTATATTGTAATCTAGCCCACTTTGGCTTTTTCTCAAGCTTATAGTTTTTGCTTTTAGGGTACTGCATGACATTGTAAGTAGTAGTATACTGTATCCACAACTTCAGCCAAAAATCATGGGACCTGAATCGTTCATTTTGCTTAGCACAGAGTCAGGTGTAGTCCTCTCCCATGTTGAGTTTCAGCTTTTTTTCGAATGGGAAGCAGCGAAGGTTATAAAATATTACACCTAGTGGCAAAACAAAAATGAAGGTGAATGTATAAGGTGTGTGCATATATTAACAGTTGGCTTTAGTCATACCTTGATTTGCACTAGCAATGCAGCTTAGCCAAGCTCCCCAGGAGAGGCAGGGCAAGAAGAGTGCTTGAACGGACAAGAAACAACCAGCCATGCCGGATGAATTTGCCAGAATGCTACCCTTCTCGACTTTCGTCTTAATTCAAAGCTGAGGTGTCAGTGGTATCCCACTGAGTTCAGTTTGACACGTTCTGATATCAGTTGTCGTGTTGATTAATTTTCCAAGTTAACAACAACAGCAAGCAAAATTAAAACCTGCTCGTTATTTTTTACTTCCCTTCAGCGTCAGTTTTATTTTTCAACTCTAATTGCCTTTAATGCAGCTAGCCACTATTTGCATTAAATTTCTTAACATCTGCCAAAACGGCCGTGCGTTTTGAAGCTTTCTTGTTAAATATCTCCCGAAAAAACTGAGAATTAAAATATATTTTTTAAAAAAATTATCATGTTTTAGTTTTTGTCATTGTACTCGGATTGTGCGTCTTGTTTAGTTGGAGTTTGAGCAGCATTATAATATGAGCAGAGTCAATTAATTTCAAAGTAACATTTTACCTAACTTCAATTTAGTGGATATTTTTAGTTTGGCATATTTTTAATAATATTTAAGAGCCGAATATCATTGCGATTGAAACTTTATCTTAGCTGCCAATTTTTGTTTTACTGTTTAATACGGATCTTTTGGAATAAAGCCGCTTTTTACTTTGAAACGTTTAGTGAGTTCTCTCCTTCAAAAAAAAGTTTATCGGCGTAATACATGCACTTGTTGGGTGCCTTTTATTAAATTTGAAATAACAAGAATATTACGCAATTCAAGGATCTGCCCTGATCTGATTACATGTACGTATCCTAGTTGCGCGCCCGTCTATATAGGAAAGTACTTACAGTTACAACATGCAGTTAGTATACCAGAAAAAATCTCGATTTGCTTGAACAGGGGCCACGAGGAATTCATGGACGATTACTATACCCTGCGAGCAGAGGCTACATCAATTTTTTTTTTGCAGTTAAAGTTAGTGTGTAGCAGTGCTTGTCGCTCGGCAGCTCAAACCGCGAAAATGTAGACGAATACAGAAATTTCCCGAAATTCTGTGCTGAAACTTGACTAGAATACGTGTGAAAAAATTCTCGAAACTCCGAGCTGAGGGTGTTTATATTTGTTTTGATCAACGCTATGTAATGATCAACCTGACTCACTGCATGGAATCTTGCGTTTCCCGCTTTTATTTCACCTATTGTATGTTTTATGTGTGAAAACGTTCAATATGAATCGGTGTATTTCAAAGAGCTTACACAAAGACTAAGACTACAATATGACCGACGAAATACAGAGCGGGGGCAGCTGTAGTGTCAACTATTACTAAACTGTTGTATTCCCCGTTAGGAGGAGTTATTTTAAATTACTAATTTTACTAAAAGAGAATATCTCTTAACTGTTGCATGAATATCGAGATCAAACTTGATCTTCGCGAAAGACAGCTGTTAACCAAACGTTAATAAATGCTTCAATGAAAACAACTGGCAAGTTTTGTGAACTTACAAATGTCTTGTTCAAATTCAGTCGACAATTAAACAGAACGTTTTAATAAAAGGTTTGTTTGACAAGTTTTAGGGAAGTTTACCATTTAAACTTTCTAGCATATTAACGGCAGTTTTGAGAAAATATATTGAAGCAATTAGCGCATTTTATTTCGGTTTATGACCACCCCTGTTCATTTAGAGACGAAAAATTTTTTCATGCAGAAGGTCCCTTTTATGATAGCTGCCGTAATATTAACGGTTTATGAATAAAACAAGCCCCCTCTTTAAATTATTAAAAATGAAAACTGCGCATAGCAAACAGCTGGCCGTCTCTAAAACGCATGTTAAAAATCGATTTAGTTGAATGTTGGAAAGTATTTAATCTTCTCTTAATTCGTAGATAGTTTACCGAGGTGTATGTCTATTATTTCGTTTTTCCTTCTTTCCTCTGTTTATGGCATTGCGTTTTTGGCCCTATGAAAGAGAACCCTGATTCCGGAATCCAGGAAATTTTTCCTGTGAAATCTGGAATCCTTGGCTTTGGAATCGGGAATACACCTCAAGGAATCCGGAATCCCACGAACGCGATTAGAATCCAGAATCCAAGTTCCACTGACACACTCTAAAATTAGGTGTGTTTCCCTAACACACCTTGTGAGTTCTCCAGCACATAAAGGTGTGTGGTGGTGACACACCTTTATGCTGTTTCATTTAAAAGTTCAGACTAACACACAAGAGTGTGCACACAAACACAGAAGGTGTGTAATTACAACACACCCTGTGATCATTCTAGAACTCACCCTAAATTGATGAGATGCAAATGTTCTTAAAATGGAGAAATCTGGCAGATCCACATAACACACCTTAAATGGCAACACATCTTCCCTATTTCAGGGCATCTTTGATACCAGACAAAGCTAATTGATGACATCAATGAAATCAACGAATAATCAATGACTATATAATTAATGAATAATCAGTTGATTGGTCATTGATTATTGCCAATGTTCAATGAGTAATCAATGAATAATCAACAGTCCACAAAATTTTCAGTCATTGATGGCACTGTTTAGTCATGGTCGACATAATCTTGTAGCTACACAAACCATTCCAAATCGAGGAAAAAAACAAATAAAAGCAACTTCTTCAAGGTATCTGTCACAGAGCAAACTTTACTTAGTCTATAACAATGGCATCTAAAAACATCAACCTCGTCACTTCAGTAGTGTGCTGATGTTGAACCAGACCTTGACAGTTCTCCCATCAAGGTTATTTCATCTTGAAAATTGTTCAAGTACTCTTTGCATAATACATATGCAGCATAATATATATTATTATCATTCGATGCAAACTTTTCTTCCTTTTCATTGGCTGAAAGCCCACCAAGTGACCTGCAAATAACTGCCTACAAATAATGGTCTGCTCATGCGCAATGTTGTCCAACTATGTTTGGCTGCAAATAATATTCTGCTCATGCGTAAACGAAACCATATTCATTAAAAAACAAACTTGGTGATCGAATGATAAAACAATTATTGAACTCGGTTATCGCAAAATATTGTGATTTGCCAGTGTCTCGCACATCAATTATTTGCCTCAGCCTTCAGCTTCGAAAAATAATTGATCTGCTCGCCACTGAAAAATCACGATATTTTGCTCAACCTCGTCCAATAATTGTTAAATATTGACAAATATCAATCATCAATTGTCATCAATTGAGCACACCAGGTATATGTGTAATCAATGAATAATTGATGGTTAATCCTGCTTGGTAGGTAATCGATGTGTAAATCAATAGCATCAATATCAATGACATTGATGTGCAATCAATTGGCCACAAAATTTTGGGTCATTGATTACCCATTGATAATCGCCACTAATCAATGACCAATCAGTTGATTACTCATTGATAAGCCTAAAAATCTTTCAGTAATCAGAATTTGAGACAATTACATGCAACGTACATACAGTTATATCGAACATACAGTCTTTATTAACTCTCATCCACTAAAGTACATCTTCAATACAACATGTGTCCTTCTCCACAATAAATTTCTTGCCATTCTTTTGAACAATATGCAATACTCCATACCATTGTAAGTCATGGCGCAAAACAACTGCTTTATGGTCAGTCCTCTCAACTTCATATGCCATGAAGTGATGGTGAAAAGAAAGAGTTGCAAGTTCTGTCAAAATAAAAAATTTCTCATCTTCCCAAACGATGATCTCATCTACTTGTCCATATACAGGATAGTCATTCTCCACATCATCCATTTCGCGTAGCCTCAAGACACATCCAGGTCTGTACTCAATACCATGAATCCCAACACGCTTTACCCTGAACATTAAAAGACGGCAATTAACATCTGTCACAATATCAGTCAAAGTATAAATCAAGGTAAATCAAGAGTGTTTGGAACATAGACAGAAAGAGGATTTGCAGGTGAAACACAAACTTACCTGCTTCCCACAAATCTCTCAGGGACATCACCCAACCCTGCAGCATCACTTATTAGCTGAGCCTGGGGATGCTGTTTTAGATCAATGCCATAGTCACCTATAAATAGTAAACAGCAAACATTTAACCTTCTGTTTACAATTTGATATTAATATTACAATATTAGAATTGAATCATCTAATTCTGAAAACCTGTGGTAATGGGATCCACTCACCTGGACCAACAACATCTCCTGCATACAGATATTTGGAGGTTGTATGTCCAGTTGATGTCAAAAGGTTCCAGCACATGTTCCTGAATAAAACAATCAAAACACAAGGATACGTTAACAATCCCCTAATAATTCAAATTTCAAGCTGTCACTTTTGTCTAGACTACGACTAGTCCCCATTTTTCCTCAGGGATAAAGAAAACATCCAGTTTCATTTCAGAAGCCTCTCCTCCCTTCCAAAAAATGTATAAATGTAAAAATAGTGTTTGTCAAGTCCTTAAGGTCCTGAAAATGTATTTAAGTTCTTGGTGCCATAGTTCAATGAAAATTCTGCCATGGTATATGACCAGTAACACTCTAGTGTATTTCAGAAAAAACTAATACACTTACCTTTGGTGACGAAATGACAGAGTTCTTGGAACGTTTTTAAAATTCTTAGAAATCACTCCCTTGAAAAAAGTGTGCTTGGCCTCAAATCGCATGGTCCAAATGTTCCGTGCTGGTCCAAACCTATGTTAAAAAGTGTAAAGTTTACTGAGGGAATAGTAAATATGTTGATTGAGTGAATACAAATATTGTTGAGCGCTGTATGAGCAAATAGGAATTAAGGAACACATTAAGTGTTCTTAAGAACAAGAAAAACAAGTAAGATTTAATTGACACTTAATTATAAGGTGAAATTAATGCTTACTACACTGCAGGAGACAAATAGGAAGCTAATAATGAATTCATAATCACCTGGCTATGTCATCTGGAATGTGGATAACATAGTGCATTTTGGGTATGATCGAGGCTTCAGGGTAGAGTCTTTTGAAGAGGGCATGGTGTTCCTCTATGAGAACCCGCAAGTATGGAACGTCATCTTTTCTGATGGCTGGAGCAGTACAGAGTTGGACAATATTCCACAAAGTCCGAAGGCAACGCCACTCCTCCTTCTCCACATCAACTTTGTCCCCAATTAATATAGGGACAAAGCGAAAAAGACACCACATCTGGGATGCTGTAACATTCAAAAGAAAAAGAAATACTGAAAATTCATGTCTGCGTCAATGACAACTATTGCCCTGCAAGCCCCTTTTCTAGTTAATAAATTTTAGAAGTATAAAAAGAATAACTATGCCAAATCAATTAAGCAGGTGGTCCTTTAAACTGACTTCGCTTCTGAGGAACAAAGACTGGAGTCATTGCATTAATGTCATAACGGAAGATTATTTTACAGATTTTAAATTTGATGCTATCTCCACCTCAACTGTGTGACATAGAAATAGTGACTTTGTATACAGCTGATTGTACTATTCTTACTAAAGTAAATATTGTAGAGATACTAGTTTCATAGAGGTCTTCCAAAGGGTGGTCTGGTGTCGCTTTGTTGTTCCTTTACAACTCTGTCTCTCGCTAGTTTTTTTTGCGGAAAAATGCTATCTATCTATCTATCTATCTATCTATCTATCTATCTATCTATCTATCTATCTATCTATCTATCTACTCGGTATTGAGCACTGCTTCTCTTGTGTAATGAAAAACATGTTAAGTATGATTATTAAATAATTGAAAGAAACTAACCACTCTGTTTTGATTTAGCATCCTCCAAAGCATTCAGTGTCTCCCTGGCAATAGGTGTTGGCTTGTCCCTGTTGTGCATATAGCCATAATTGAAGCTTTCCATTCGGTGGTTTAGCTCTTTGAGGGTCAAGCTTCGTTTGTCATCAATCAGCACCTTCAAAAAACGCTTGGTCTCATAAGGCACAACCCCCTCAAATAGAATGTGCATGATGTCTTCAGGGAAACACTGGCACACATCGAAGTTGGCAACCCTGTTCATCACACTGAGCCCATTAACTCCATATGTAGTTGAAAGGGCATCACGAACATGAGGTGCATTGTCTTGATCCTCAATCATTTCACAGATTCGCAAGTGATCGGTCAGGTTTCTTGCTTGAAATTCTTCTGTTCGAAACTGGAAAAAAAAATCATATCATGAGGAAACAGTGCTATCCTGAAATAACATAAAACAAGTCACCAGTTCTCTGAGAGCTTAGAATTTACATACAGTATGTACAGCATTCATGATCAGTTGCAATTAAAATGTCACGTTCAGGTTAAAATTATTTGAACCAAGTTTGATTTGAAATTTCCTTTGTTTGCTTTCATTATTATAAGGAGACAAAAAGAAATTACCTTTCTTCCAGTTTCTTCCTTTGTTCCCATGCAGTGTCTGCATATTCTAAGGGCTCCACCAACACCTTCTTTGAAACAGCTGACACAATTGCTACCCAGTGTATCACCAGTCCATAGTAGAAGGCCTCCTCGTAAGTACCTCTCTTGTCCATGAATCTTAAAGCAATGTCCTTGTTCCTTTTTACGTGGGAAGAAAGTCACCATGCAAGCAATAAGTTCAGATGTATGATATTTTATAACCCACCAATTAATTTTTGTGTGATTTTATTGGCTATTTTGGATCACAAAGCCAGTCTTTTCAAAATTTCTTCAATTTCAAACAGAAGAATCCAATCACAATTTCAATAAAATTAACTCAATGTCATTTGGAATCGTCATCAGATCACTTTTGTTTTCAACATTTTCAACTTTCAACTGTGTATAACGATATGAAAATTAATCGGAGGGTTATGAAATAATAAACCCCTTTATGACTTGCTTTATGTCCAGGGGTTTCATAAGTTTTGAAATAGCTGTCTGAGCTGACTAATGTAGGCCGGGTCCTGATGAAGTAGGCAGCAGTTAGAGGTAAATTTCTCACAAAGTAGGTGGTGGTAGCTGGCTTCTAATGAAAACACTGAAAGTCAGTTATTTAATGGATTCTTTCTTAAAATTATTTGTCATTTCAAAGGCCTTTCAAAGTGAGTAAGAATGGCATTTTCTTTTTGAAAGATCTGTACCAAATACACATATCTCCACTTTTGACCAGATGAAGAGTGAGAGATAAATGCACAGCTGCAATCCTTCTTGAAACAGACTTGAGACCCCTGTTACATGAACCTCATGTCTCCTTACTAGCTCATCTAGGCGAACAATGTGGGAAAATGAATCCTGCATGAAATAGACTAGGAAGAAGATCTTAAAAAAAACCAAACTCAGTTAATTTGAAAGGCTTTTCAAATAAGCAAACATACTTTTTATAGTTCATAGGCACTTCCCCTCTTAAGACAGACACCCAGGACCATGAAATGCTAATGAGGAAATTTCGTAGCTAGGCAGAGGCAACCTTAAGTTAGGGAATTTCCCTTGCGTTGGGTTAAAACCTTATTTATAATGAGTTTTTGTAGGGTGAAATTTTTTTGTTAACTAGTGTAATTTATTTCTGATTTTCTCAGGTTCGTTCTGAGCTGTGCCGCATACTTGACAAGAACTGTGTGAAAGGTGCAGAAGACCGTTTAGTGAGTGCTCTGAAAGTCACTCTGAGGCATAGCGACGAGAAATTGACAAACACGCAAGTTGTGGAAGCTGTACATGTCATACAACAGCGAACCAAAAGAAAAGGAAGCAATTCAGCAGTGTTAAAATTTCAACATGTAAGTAACATCTTTAAATAATTTATTTTGCATGGTTACCAAGCTTCCACATATTGTGATGTATTTTTATTTTACCATACCAGAAGTAATCGTAACAGCTTTGATACCGTGAGCTCAACATCATGCACACTATCACCTGTTTTATTGCTTTCAAGCATGTCATAACTTGTAGTTTTCTACTCAAGACACTGTTTCCTAAACATACAAATTTACATCAGGCCAATAATCTCTTCTTACTTCCATTATACATTTCAGCCGGCAACACCACCAGACAAGTTGTTCAAGGATAAGAAAGTGGAATTTTCGTTGGTGTGCACAGGAACAAGTGAGGAAGTAGAGCAAGTTTTTGTGTGTGGAGAGGACCAGGCTTTTTTCGAATGTGATTGTGAGCTGCCAAGAGCATTAGTTGATTTAATTGCAGCATATTATGTTTTTGATGTCAAATACCCCCAGTGTTTCTCAGGAGTTCTTTACTTTTTCCCAAGAGGTTGTATTACTGCAAGTTGATAGTGAATTTAAAGGAACCAAGTATGCCACCTTTATGGCGGAGTTTAAGAAGGAGAGCCAAAGAAAGTAATGTAAGGCATTAGTTGATTTAATTGTAGCATATAAGAGTGGTTTTCAATTGAGCGTCATAAAACCAAAACCAAAGTAATTACTCTGACCAATCACAAAAGTCGTAAACAGCACAATGAACCAATCAGAATATGAATTATTGCATGTAGCCGACTCCAAGCACGGGGAAATGCAAGTCGTGATTGGGTTTGGTTTTGTTTCTTAGTATTGCTTGAGAAAATGGTGCACGTTTTGTCAACCAACCACAGAGCAAAGTAATGCAAAACCTAAGCAAACAAGAATCACTTTTGACGCTCAGTTGAAACCGCTCTGTTTTTTTGTGTCAAATACCCCCAGTGTTTCTCAGAAGTTCTTTTTTTTGCCAGAGGTTGTATTACTGCAAGTTGATAACGAATTAAGGAACAAAGTGTGCCACCTTCATGGTGGAGTTTAAAAAGAGACCGAAAGACAGTAAAACAAGTTGCATTTGACATTTTTATGAATGTGAGACAAGTAAGAATATCGTTAAGTGCTTTTTGAAGGTAGTTCCCAGAAAACCCTATATCAATATTGGAGGACAGCAATAAATTCAAGTTTGCATAAGTACATGATTATTTATTAAACAATCTGTGGAATCAAGAAAACATCTCATGTATAATAGGCAAACTTAAGTAAGCTAATTCAGAATGTTTTAATTAAAAACAGTTGTTAATGTTAAAATTTGTTTTTAAAATGTTAATAAACTACTTCTGGACCATTGCTGATGTTTTTTGCCTTATGTAAATGTCAATTTATATTTTGGGGTACCTAGCAATGTGTTTTCTTAAGACACATCAAAAGATATGTTTGTTGGCACATCAAGATGTGTGACAAAACACATCTTTCTTGTGAACACACCTGAAAGTGTGTCAAATTTAGGACAAGCATGAAACACAAGTTAAGGTGTGTTGAGGGAACACACCAAGGTGTGTTTGGATAACTCACCGAGGTGTGTTTGGGTAACACATGAAAAGGAGTGCGTTTATTCTCACCTTTTTGTGTGTTCTTTTGAGGACAAAAATAGGTGTGTTGCAGTAACACACTTTGTTTTAGAGTGTGCAAACACGGGTTTTTCATACATTAAAACGGTGATTTTCGAGCGGTTTCTATAATGAGGGAGTAAAGCTGGGTCGCACGATCTTTCCGAAGGTTGATCGTCATATATCGGATAGGTCTTTGTGCCATTCTTCGTGGTAGTGTAAGCAGGTGTTTAGAGGCAGGCCGGAGCTGCATTTTCATGTCAACACGATAAATTAAACCGATCCGGTGCAGTGTGATAATAGCGTAAGACTAATAGTTGCCCGCTGTTATGTTCAATTCTCTTTTAGCTTAAAAACAGAAGAGACCTTCAAATTCTACGGCTATAGTCAAATTATACCGACTTGTTTTTTTCTCGGCCACTTCTGTTCACACACCACAACGGTGATTTCGACGCGATTCCTGTGACGAAGGGAAGCTAGGCTGCGCCGATCTCGAAAACGGACCTTCACATATCGGATAGGTTTTTAGCCATATTTGAATGTAGCATGACCACTTAGCAGGTCTTTCGCGGAAATAAATAGGAGAGAGAACTGGAACCCAAAGAAGCGGAAGTAAATATTCAGGACTGAGGACTGAAATTAAGAGCACCAAACCCATTCGGCCAACAACACTAACACGATGTTCGGTGTGTGAAAGACTTGTTGCCGTCCCGGACCGTTGCTGTTCATATTATACTGAATAGCTTTTCGTGGGACCGCGAACAGCTATTCGGTATAGGCCACAGAACTGAGACGACTTCGAACAGATGGAGATTTTCTCAATACTAAGCAGTGACTATTATTTAAAGTAGTGCGAGCGCGTGAACCAAAGGCATTTTGGCGGGGAAATGTGATAGCCGTCGTCATTCTTCAGTTTAGCTTGAATAATCCTAGTGCAGGGAACAGTTATCAAATTTTAGAGGTTTTAACATGGGGCTTAACCTCTTCAATAAAGACGAAAATGTGCTAATGTTTTTTGTAAAAAAGAGGTACAATAAAGCCTTTCCATGATGTCTATTTTTTGAGGATACGCGAAAAACCGTAAGTCAAATCTCGTCCTCGAATTTATGAAAGGTCTCTAATAAAAGAAATTCCACGGGCCAATGTAACGCAATACGCGTATGCTGCGAATAGTACACCCACCTCGGGCCGCGAGATAAATAAGGCAAGTGGATAAGCAAGGGCGGGAAACTTTTGTCTGATTGGCTCCTGGGAAATCGTTCTTGACTAGTACTAGCACATTTGTATGCCCGTCACGCATTGCAGACAAGTTAGCTTCACGCGAAATAGGATGAGATTAGCCAGCGCGCCCAACCAAAACTGCCATGCTACGCTGGCTAGGATGAGATGGTCTGATCTCTCTTGGTAGACATCGTTCTTCACGTGCTCCAACTGGCTTGTCCAGCTCCGAATTGTTTACAATGTCAAGCGCTAAGCTAAATTCCGTACTTGACGTTTTATCTTAGTTCCGATGGGAGAAAAAACTTCCAAGGATTCTTTAGTTATTGTTTTTGGTAAAAACTAAAAAAAAAACCGCACCTGAGTTGTCAGGGGCCAATAGTCTATACCACTTGACAGTTTTAAGCAGTACCCAGACAAGTGTTAAGTGAATTCGCGTTCTTTCAAACTACGTCGCGACTGTTTCAGCTCGCTCTGTATGTCAAAAGCGGCTCTCTTTAATTGGTTATTGAACTACAACAAAGGATCTTTTTCTTATGAAAATGCGTATGTCTGTTTTTTTTTTGTTTTCTGTTTCACTGTCAAACGATGACAGAGTTGAACGTTCACAGGTAAGTTTCAAACAAAACTGTGATTTTGCGTAGGTCAAGGCAGCCTCCAACGCAGGCGTTTTTAGGGGAGCTCGTATTTCGTCTACCAGGGTTCCAAGGCGGATCAGGAATATAACTAGCGAGGAACTAATAGGATACAAAAGCCTAACTACTTCTGAAAAACCTGGGTCTTCATCAAAGGAAACAGTAGTTCAACAACTGTCATCCCTGAGTCAAATTTGTAGTGATCCTGTTGTAGGAGTCTTGATATTAAAAAAATTGCTTTTTGCTCACTTCTTGGAGTACCTCTCAATTGCACATATTAGTTTTGAAAAGGGAATATTGTTATGGCAGTCCAGTCTAGTGATATTTAATCTTGAAAAACTGTTAGCTGTTAGCCAGAGCAGTTTTTGAAGCCTTCATGTACTTCAATCTTTTATTTGCCTATGCATGCCTTCTTTTGTGCTGGCTGTATTATTTTCCCTTGAGTAGTACTGTTATAAACAGTAATAATCATTGGACAAAGTTTGGTGGTATCCGGAATAAACAAGGTCGAGGTAAGTGTTGTCAGCCAAACTGAAGGCTGATGCTGATAACACTTACTGAGACCTTGATTATTCAGGATTATCACAAGAACCAAATCTAAAAATTGTGTTGAAAAAAATAATGACAAACACACTATCGCAAAGAACCTGAATTGATGTTGTTCTTGGAAATTATGGATTGCACGCGAAACCTACAGATTAGTCAGGTATGTGCTAGCAGATAACTAGCTGATCTGTTGGTTGCCCTGGTTTCCAAAATTAGCTGTAGGCTCTTAACCAATCAGAGGACAGATAGTGAGTACAATGTAAAATGGAAGCGGTTATCAGTACGTCTCAAGCCCAGTTTGGTGACCAGTTCATACATGTAGGTCCTAGTGGCTGAATTTGGGTAAATTTTCGTGACACGCCTCCCTTTATATTATGTTGGCTCATGCATTGTTGCATTTTTTTGGAGTGTACAAAATCATTATGGTGAAGCAATGCGGTCACCCTTCCTCCTGGCTGGGTGGGTCAATCTTCAAGCGAGGCCAACTTTTTGTTTCTCACGTGCTAAACAGTTCACCACATTTTGTAAGGAAATGTCCCTTCTACCCATGACAACTTGTCTCCATATAAATGGGGCCTTGGGAAAAGAGCAGCTGCTTGGGTGTCACCCAGCTGCATCACAACCTTGCATCAACTGAACTGAACAACCGTCAGATAGCCTGAGAAAACAGCTGACTTTTTTCAACACTACCACTGGTTTCCCTGTGAAATGACGTCTGAGAAATGACTGCAGAAATTTCATACTGTTGAGGTGCCTGGGTAGTGCTTCTGATTGGTCATAAGTGAAGGGAAAATTGCAGTCAGAAGCACTACTCAGATCTGGGTAGACTCACGACGTCGCCAGTATGAAATTTCTGCAGTCATTTTCAAACGTCATTTTGCGGAGAAACTAGTGTTGGCGTCACCAAATTTTGGCTGCTTTCTTCAAGTGACCATTGAGATTGTTGTCGCAATCAAAATCTCGACGATAGCAACCAAGGAAAAGGTCTCGACTTACACTGGATTCCACAACACTAGACAACTTGGGTTTACTACCATGCACAGAACTCAGTTTAATTTTAAAGTTTCAAAGTCAGTTGGTTAAACAACTGACGGCGAAGAACGTACAATAATGAACAAAAGCTACAACCGAAAGTTACTTTATACTTAGGCTGGTTTAAAGCAGCAGCAAGCTAATCATAAGTACCTTTTGTTACCTAATTAACAAGCATAATTTATAACAGTTGACCTGCACCATTCTAAAGCAGCTCTGTGACTGGTCTGCCATGAGCACTTCTGTTTCGAATGTTTGTCCTTCCTTGGAGCGGAGGGCAAGTGCCCGAAATCTGGGCGGATATACCATTATGGTCCCTGCTCCAAACACCAGCTTTTAAAGTGTCTTTTCGGTGGTGACTTGATTTTATAAACTCAATGGATGAAACTCTTTTTTTGTGAGTTGGTCTCTCTCACCGATGCAGTACCACAGATTGTGTTGAAACCATAAATTCATTCAACCACATTATCATTTTAAACTGAACCAACGAATCACAGAGATGCGCATTTTCATGCCCGTTTTATGAGGAAAAAACATTTCTTTGAACTCGATAACCAACCAAAGGGCCGCTTTGGATTTGTGCAGGGCATCGCCTGAATGCATTTTCTTAGTCATTTGGTATAAAATAAAAAGGCATAACACTATTTATATAAGCCGTTCACAAAAGTGTTGATGCACACACGCGCGAGTCCACCTGGTCTCGATTTCTTCGATCCTTTCCAGCAGTCTGCGCTAGGTCCGTGCGTGATTTAATGCCTGTTGCCGAAATGAAGGAATGTTCATGTCTCCCCGCATTGCTGAAGTCCCTTATTAAACTCTCCACCTGGCGGACATTTGCGTGTGTACTGACTCTTACAAAAAACGCAGTCATAGGCCACTTACGAGTTCCAAAAACCCTCACTTTCAAAATGAGGCCAAGTGCACAACTTTTCTTGTGAAAATGAGTGTTATTTGCATAATTCATTTCCATATCAAAGACTGAGCACTTAACCTCGTTTTTATACAGAGGCCCAGGTAACTCAGAAATTAAATGGCCTGTTGCGAACTACAAACCTTGAATTACCTTTATTAAAATGCCTACAAAATTTCCTATGACATTATGCAATATACGTAGCTAAGAAATATTGTATAGTAATGAACAAGTTTCAAAGTGTCGAAGCTTCAACTCTTAGGCTCATTGGGGGTGCAAGATTCCATTTTGTTCTTTGCTTTTTTCCATTCTAATTTTTCTCAAACAGGAACTGAGCCTGAAAGCTGAAGCAAACGACACTGCAAATTCCAACTATAAAATGGAAACAAATTTATCGTAGTGCTGGTTGTACATCACAACCGGCTATGAGGCTGACCGGTTGACTATTTGCATACCGTAATTGTTCGAATAAGCGCCCGCCTCGAATGAGCGCCAATCCTAAAGGCAGAAAAAGTTATTAAGTGCCCAACCTCGAATAAGCGCCCACCACCTAACATCCATCCAGCAAGCTGTATCTGCTTCTCGGCCACCTAACCCATTTGCCGGCTTTACGATGTGCGACATCCAGGAGATAGCACCAGAGAACTCACTTACTGACTTCCCTAAAGACGTAGTTTTCTTCAGAGTAGTTTACAGAAACCTTGCTTTGATGTTGTTTTGTTGCAAAATAAACATTACTACAGTTGCTGAAAATGGTGAAAATTTGATAAGCGGTCAGGGCGGTTAATCGAATAAATACGGTACACCTTTTTCATGTTTAGGTCAAGATGACGAGATTGTTGGGGACCCTCCATATAAAAACGCCTAATTTTGAGCTGAGACTGAGCCAAGACTAAACTTGCTTATTTTTTAGGCGAATTGAGCCTCAGAACGTTCTTAGGATGTTTTTAAATTACATGTTGTAAACATTAACGAAATTCTCTTATCTAGTAAAACCATCTGTTATCAAAAGAGAATTAAACTAATGAGTGTTAATTGTCAGTCACCTAACATGCCGTAAAGCTGGAGGCAAATTCCAACTATAAAATGGAAACTAAATTTATCTTAGCACTGGCTGTACATCCCAACCAGCTGTGAGGCTGACCGGTTGGCTATTTACATACACTTTTTTATATAGAGAGGGTCCCCAACAGATTTTTCAGATGCGGGATTTCCTTAAAAGTTGCAGGACGGGATTCAGGATTTTAAAGCAAAATGCATGGGGGCGAGATATATTCAGGATGTGGGATGCCAATAGACCTATTCGGTTAACTCAATGTTGTACCCAATTCAAACCCTTTGGGAATAAAACGTTTTGTTTCAGGAATTTCCATATCATATAAATGTGAAAGCCACATTATAATGCAAATACAATACACAAAGAATCTTATCCCCGGTAGATTTGAATTGGGTACAACATTGAGTTAGCCGAATAGGTCTATAATGACCGTTGGGATTACGGGATTGAGCGAAAATTTGGATCAGGTTGACGAGATTGAATGGTGACCCTCTATATAAGAACGCCTAACCATAACTTAGCCTTACTTAAGGTAAGTGGTTGTTTGCCTCTAGGAAAACCAAAATAAACCCAGTGACAGATCCAGAGGGAGGGGACTTTTGACTTAACGAAATTGACGAAACCTGGACAAAGCTATTTTATCACTTAACTCAAGAGACGAATGCCACAAAGCTGGGCACTGCACGAAGAATATCACGTATCATGGCAGCTAGGTTCTTTGCAGTAGAAAGGAATGTGTAACGGTTTGGAATGATGTACTAACGAAGTAAGTTATTGGCTTCAACAGTGTGCACAACTTGGTCCCCCGTTATTAAAATTTTCTGGATCCGCTCCTGAAATCAATCATAGAGTGGCGAGTGCACGCTTTCCCACTTTGCACTGGTTGCACGTGTCAGAAATCATTGTAAGTTTCTGATGTGTTCCTCTGTCCTTAGAGCTTTTTGAGTTCTTTGTGCCCGCCGTGATAACATAACAAATACAAGAGAGAACTGAATGAAATGCTGACATTTTTAAAATCCTTGATATATTTGCGGGTGATATAACTCAGGGGCACTTAACGACTGTTTTATGTAAAATATCTGTTCGGAGAAGCAAATATTGCCAAGAATTTTCTATCTCTTGATGACGCCTAAAACTTTCCAGATGACCGTTCCATTCATGTACAATTTTCGTAGCTTATCTCATTAATTCCCTACGATTTCCTGAAGTTCAAGTTTCGCATTTTACTTCCCAAGCAGGTTATTTTTCGCAGAAAAACTAAACCTAACATTTTTGGATTCAAAAATGTGATGGAGAGAGGAATTAGAAAATGCCTCATTTTCGTAATACGTCCAATTTCATCTAAAATTTTTGGGAAAATATACTCAAGCCCTTGTAATTTCGAAAAGACTCAAGTTCCCCCAGGATGACCGAACAGATACAAATTCTTCAGCTCCACTTAAAATGCTTCTGAACGGTACTCGGGATAGCCTAAAAGTGTTTTCAATGTATTTAGGGGGAAACCGTCGCTGGGTGCCCCTGATAACTGTCTACTGAAAGGCGCACCAATACTCGGGTATATGTAAGCTACTGGAATGTTCGATACGATATCAATATAGTGTCATTCTCAAGTATCGATACGTACTCTTCAGGGAAATCTGGTTTGGTATAGGTACGCCTTTCAAAATTGCTTTTACCTTTTATTTTATAGCTGGCGAATCAGAGCTGCTAATAAAAAAAAAACACTCTCTCTCATTTCTTCAATGAGGCTTTTCTATCACCGTTATCTGATAATAGTAAGCTGCAGCTCTGTTTCTCTTGGCGTGTTATCTGTACTAGTGTTACGATTAATGTTACCTGTCTTACAGAGACCCTCAAGAGAAAGAAAAAGGCTTAGTCCGCGGCGGACGGATAAGGGCGCAAGAGATGATGGGAAGTAAAGAAGAGGGAAAACTGGATCGAAGAACGCCGGAGGAGCTCAAATAGGCCATTTGTACGATGATGTCATTTTACTACTACGACCAGAATCCTTTTCGTTTTCCCTTTCATATTTTAATTTGGTAATCCCAGCGAGGTTTACATAACAAAAGCCCTAATTTGCACAAGAAAGCAAAGTCCTGAAGGATTTTGGTCGTAGTAGTAAAATGGCATCATCATTTAAATGGGCTATTGCGTTATATTAAAGTCATATCGTCATAAACAAACAAAAAACAACAATGAAAAGCACCAAGTCAAAAGCTCAGGATACAGTTCTTTAAGTGGTTGTTTCATAGAATACTTCGATATCTGTTGGCGTGAAACTGTAGCTTCCAGCATAGAAATTACACCTAGAACCATATAAAGAATACCCTGGAGGGAGGGGGTATCTATAGCCACAATAAGTATAAGAATCCTGGTTACTAGTAGCGTTGTTTGATATGACAATATCACCAAAGCCAAATCTTGGTCCAAATGAACCAAACGATGATGTAGCCCAGTACCGACAGTGCTTATCTAGCTTGACTCGCAGCTTAACAGGATTGTACACAGCGTGTCGTCCAGAACCATTGTTATTGGTCAATGAGTAGATAAAAGCTTTACTTGAATATCCAGGCGTAAAACTTCCAGCTGGGAGATAATGAAGACATTTTACAATTCTCACAAACCTTACTAAAGGCGCTCACAAAAAATGAACTTCTAGGAATATTCAGTGAATCGGACTTCAGTTTAAAATAGTGAGTGCAAGTCCAGCTTGACATACAAACATCCCTAGACAACCTATTCATAAACGCATTTTTAAAATTTGCTGTATTTGTATAAATTTTTCAAAGTTCCTAAAAAAGTGTCATGAGCCACACATCCATTTGTTGCCTTGCTGAGTTACAGTAATGACATTGTATTGACTTTGACAATTTGAAAATTAGTGGGGGAGGAGAAAATTATTTTAGAAAATTAGGCAGTTTTAGTGGAGTAACAAATTGCTATGAGCAGAAAGAGAACTCTCCCTAAACTGGATTCCCTCAGTGTTAGTAGCAAAGAGCGCGGTACAAGCTAGAATGTATAACGTAATATCATAACTGAATTCAGAAAAGGGATTTATGCAAACTAGAATCGTAACTGAATTCAGATCTATCGAATTATGACAGAGCCTGAAACCTAATTGAAGTCCATACAGATGACAGACAGTATCACACATGCATCTGATACTTTTTTTTTTTAGCCTCTGCATGGCTGAACCACTTGATTCGGTGTTTCGTTCTGTTTTTAAAGTAATTTTGCTCATAAATGTTCACGGATGTAACTACCTTGATTTTTACACGGGAAAATTTTCCTTTTTATCCTTCTGATTACCTTGACCCGGGGGGTAGTTGGTAGTTCTTAAGCCACACTTTGCTTCATTAAAAAGAGTCCGTAGTTCATAGTTACAGAGCTTTAAAGATAATTCAGTAAAATTAGGCTGGGACCAGAGGCGTCCTCTCCTTTCCAGTGGCCCCTTAATGGGTTTTGTAAGGAGAGGGCGAAACCAAATTTTGCAAGATTTTGTTTATGGATGTTGTGATTTAAACCTGAAATCAACGATAAAAAAGTAACTTGACGTTTCGATGGTTTCTTGTCATCATTATCAAAAGATAAGAAATTAACATGATTCCTGGAAATATATATTATCTTTGATAATGATGACATGAAGACAAGTTTCTTTTTTATCATTGACTTATGTTTTAAAATGTATTTCAAAATCGATTCTTATAAGATTTAAACCTGACCGGGATAATTTAATTTAAATTGTGAATTAGAGAAAAACATACTTCTGGTAGTTGTATTCAAGTGACGCCATAATGAAAATGGCCAATTCTGATTGCTGAGGAATAATTTTCTCGCCTTGAATTGTACGTAACCAAAACTCAAGCCAAACGCCGCTGTAATACTTTACCGTTCTTCGTTGTTAGCAAACAAAAAAAATGTACATGTAAATGTACTCACGCGGTGGGCTTTCCCAGGATACGCCACTGTATCCACCAAATATGAAACTGCCGACTTGAATTATGGTTACAGTGGGTCCCTTGTCATCACAGTTGCCGTGGAACGTAGACGCTGCCCAGCCGTCCTCTTTAGCGTGCCAACACCTCACAAACCTATTACGGACTGAGCTATTGATCACGGGCTCCAAAAACGACCTCAAATTCTCCAAATACCTACTGTCGTTGCCAAGAATAGTTGATGCATCAAAACCACCTTTGAAAAAGAAAAGACATCTCTGGTTCTTATCTTTGGTATTAGCGCCAGCGGCACTAAGCGGCACTCAGCGTAGTTGTACACGGATAGTCATGCCAAAGGTATATGAGACTCTCTTTGGGCGAAGTCGCGACGATCGCGGCTATTGATGAAACAACGATCTTAGAGTTAAAGACCCCGTCCACACTTATCCGGATATTTTTGAATCCGCAACTTTATTTGCGCATTTGGCTTCCTTCCACACTTATCCAGTGAATCATTTGTTATTCAGTAACGTCACAAGATCGAGCCCAGTTCGTTACCGTGAATATTCAAGACGGTGCCCAGCGCAATGTCACACACTTCTTTACTTTTTGTACTTCAGTTTCAAGTCTTATAACGTGTGTGTAGTTAAACCTTGCTATCATTACTGTAAACTTCAATAATGCCAACAGCGGCTCGACATTTTGAAGCTTCTTTCCATGTAGGACGGACGAAACGAAAACGAAACGGAATAGTGCTTGATGGGACAATTTTCTCAGTGAAACATTTACTGAAGAAGATTGGCGATAACATTTTTGCAAGAGCCGAAGATCGCTTTGCCAATTAACTGAGAGTGGATACGTGTGGACAGGCAAATTCGATTTGAATACGGATTCGTGTAGACGTGAAAATTTTTGAATCCCGAAAGAAAAATTTGCGGATTAAAATTATCCAGATACGTGTGGACGAGGCCTTAAACGTCGCGGCGAAGATAGTATTGCCTTTTCGATAAAGTTTGACAACGTTGCTCCAGCGACAATGGCATGGGGAATTTTTTTTCAAAATGTGCGCTGCACGTTCAGGTTTTTTTCTGTTTATCAGTCAATACTATTGCATACTTTTTTTTATTTTCTCGTTTCCTTCGCCGTCATCGTGGTTGTTCCAACTCGCCAGTAGCGTTACCACGCAAAACAACTCTTGATATGCGATGATTTCGTTGAAAAGCTGGCGATTGATGGGAAATTAAAAGGGCGACGAAAACGACGTCCGCGGTTACTCGCCAGTAGAGAGGCTCGTATATGAAAACAGTTAAATTTACTACCATGAATGCTTGCTATAACTCTTACTAAGTTAACTACGGTTCATTTGCCATCAAGAATCCTCCTTGTGAGCTTGAGCTCTGCGTTTAGGTTCACCACTTTTTTTGCATATATGCGGCCACTATAATCGAAAAGTGCTCTACAGGAAGAGAGCTTGTAATCTTTGCCGGGTATATTACGAACAAATAGACCAATTCCGAATTGCCCTAAGCCTCTGTTTCAAGGCGAGGCTAAGTTGCTCTCCAACAACTTTTTCCATACAAATCTTCTTATTTTTCAAAAAAATCCAGACTGTCATAAAATCTCATTCTTGAATGATGGGGGCCTGGCACGACAATTTACCCGCGCCGTTTAGATTCTCTCGACTATCTCCCAGTTGGCCTGCTTACTCTGTTGGTTAGAGCGTTGCACCGGTATCGCATAGGTCAAGAGTTCGAATCCGGTACAAGCTTGAATTGTTTTCAGGCCTTTCTTTTCGCAACTGCATTAGTCATTATAATAATTTGATTACCAAGAGTAAGGGTGGATTTCCACTGTCGCGTAATTTTCACGTGCGTGTAAACGCACGTAAATTTTACTCGCGTAAATAAAATAGAGACAAGGTACGAAGCCGTGTTGCACTTAAACGTGAAGTTGGACGAGGTTTCACTTTTACGCGCGATCCTTCATATATTGCCTCTCTTTTAACTGGTAAATTTTTCCTCTCGTACGCACGTAAAAATTACGCGACAGGGGGCCTAAAGTAAAGGGCCTAAAGTAGTTGCTGTCTTCGCTAAACGTCAATAGGATCCCAAGACGCACTACCAACTAAGCCATCAACCCCCATTCCCCTGCAACCTTCACTCGCATCATTTTATATTTCTTGGCTTAATTCACTCACTTATATTAATGTACTTTTTCCCCTCATCTCCATAATATGGTGCATATGTTTGGTTGCAAACACAGCTATAGGATCCAATGGTGTTTGTACAGTTCAAGGCACTAGCGTCGCAGCCATGTAAGTTGTCAGCACATTCATCTACATCTGAAAAAATAAAATGCAAGAACTACACATAAACCTACCTCCTACATTGAAATCACAGAAATCAAAGACAGCTTCCGTAAGATCGCTGAGATCGAGCGCTTAGTGCTGTAACAGGTGACCTGATCTTGGCTTTTTAAGTGTAAGTGTAACTAGGGAAAGAGTATTAAAGGGACTACTACCAAGGCGTGTCAATAACAATGACCGAGACCCTGTACAGCCCCCGAAATGATCCCGACCCCGAAATGATCCCCAACCCTGAAATGATCCCCAAATCGACCCCGAAATGATTCCCATTTCTCTTCACGTCGACCCCGAAATTTCAATTCGGGGTCGATTTGGGGATCCTTTCAGGGTTGGGGATCATTTCGAGGTCGGGATCATTTCGGGAGCTGTAGATCAGGTTTTATGAGCCCGCGAGACTGAGCAGCCCACCCAAACCCTTGTTTTTACTAAAACCGCTGGACGCCACAACCTGAGGGACAGTCAACCTGGGGTCAATTTAATAAAACTTTTACACGTGGAATTTACAAGTGCAGCCATTGTTTTAGAGTCTGAGAACAAAAGCTACACTTGTAAATTACGCGTGAAAAAGTTTTATCAAATTGACCCCAGCGCTGGTTGAGGTCATTGTTATCTAAGGTCTTCCCAAATTTTTACCTTTACAAATGCTCCCATTGCCTGTGTAGCCACTCCTGCACATGCAGTTGTAAGAGCCAGCTGTGTTTATACAATCCGCATTTTTGTGGCAATCATGGCTTCCCTTTTCGCATTCATCGATGTCTGAATAAGAAAAAATAAGAAATGAATATCATTGAAGTCTTATCATGACATTTATCAGCAAGTTTTACCTTTACAAATGCTCCCATTGCCTTGGTAGCCAGGCCTGCACATGCAGTTGTAAGAGCCAGGAATGTTGGTACAGTTGGCATTTATGTGACAATCATGACTTCCATCCTTGCATTCATCAATTTCTGGAGGAAGTAGAAAATATTAACACAGGAAGAAATAATAGAATTAATTTGTTTTAAAGCTTACCTAAAGATACACAAAAGAAGTATTTAAACTATCTTTAATTTATTTACTAAAGACATGAAATACACTTTTCATAGACTTTAAGGTGAAAATTAAAGGCTAACTTATGAACCATTTCATAACCGCTTTAAGTTAAGAAGAAAGGTAACTGAAAGGTTCATTTCATAAACTTTAGGAACTGCTCCTAAAGCGTTCTAAAGTAACATTTAATTAATCTTTTGTGTCAACTTTAGTATAGCTTTAATTTTTCAAAAATGCTTAGTGGTATATCTTTGCTTTGCCTTTAATTCTACTTTAATGTAGTATTAAAGACTCATGTCATCTTTAATTTGTCTTTAATTCTATTTTAATGTTTTATAAAAGCCCCAAGTCATCTTTAATTTGTCTTTAATTCTATTTTAATGTTTGATAAAGGCACCAGGTCATCTTTAATTTGCCTTTAATTCCATTTTAATGTTTCATAATACTCCGCGTTTGTCATCTTTAATGTGCCTTCAATTCGATCTATTTTAATGTTCATTAAAAGCCCCAAAGAAGAGAATAAGATAAAGGGATTAAAACTGGGGTGTCTCAGCTTGTCGGAGAAAAATATCATAAGTTGAACACTGGAATCCATGACTGCATGGTTCCTCTTAAAGAAATAAATAAATACAGTGAAACAAACAAAATCTACTTTAAAATCAGTTTATTGTCAATAATGTCTAATTCTTATTTTGAAATTATTCACTGCCTACTTTAATGGAAAAACCACTTTGTGGTGAAAAAAAAGAAATAGACCAAGGACCACAACTTCAAAAAGTTAAAAGTACATCTTTATCAAATAGGTTTGATGATCGTTAATTTATAAAATAAATTCACAACACTGTTCATTGTCAACTTATGAAGATAGTCCTGCAATCACACAGATGAAGTGGTTGAAGAATCAAGATCTGATGCTTGAGCATTAAGGGACCATTCACGAATTTCAGGAGGGTCACGTTCTGACGGCTCCTTACAGTTCTAGGCACAATCCTGTCACGTGCCCTCTTAGCCTCTTGTTATACTTTTTATCAAGCTGCTTTTTGATTTTTCGCAGAGCTGTGCTCTCCCAAGGGAGCTTTTTGATCTTATAACTGGTTAGTGCCTCCTTGCCATCTTCGTCAGCTTTATAACAGCTATCCTTGCTGCTCATTGTCTCCATCACCAGGACCTCTTCTTCCATTCTCATGGTTGTCGCCCCATTTCACCATGTCAAAGGCAGCTGTCCTCCTTGTTAACTTCTAAAAGAAAGAGACGGAATAAGAGTAGGTGGTGGGCCAGAACTCATTACAATACAATCCAACTGATTCCACCATTGGATATGTAACAAAAGAGTATAATTAGATGAGACTTAAACAATATCCAGACTAATCTCTCTTATTATTCTGTACATCACAAAAATTAAATCTTATAATAAATTGTTGTTTTTTGAATGAAAAGATATGGTCAGTAGATATGTTATTTACTGCCTTTTCAGAGATAACAAGCCACTTAAACCAACTAAGCATCCAAGGTTTACATCAGGTTACTCTAAGAAATCATGCAACATGTGTGTCCTCCTTTCATGATCTTCATATTTTTCAGAATTTTTCAGTCTTCTAGTCTCATTTAATGACTGAAAATATCTTTGTAGAGCAGCTGTTGTAATGGTAAAGTAAGGTGTCTAGCATTAGCTCAGGCTTACATCAGTACAGGGGACTGTATTCTAGGAAATGATGTATTGTAGGGGAACCAATTACTCTAACTTATAAAATTCAGGGTGCCCAGCAAATAAAACAATTAAGATTTTCTTCTTTGCTTAAGGACAAAGGTAATTCATCACTTATAAACACTGTGGCCAACCTGTCAATGTTTTACAAATGATATGAAGCTACCACTGGATGGTTAAAATCTTAATTGATGTTATATTTATATTATATCACGTGATCTGTTCCAAAATTAAAATAAACAGGAGATGGCCTAAATTTGTCCGACTTTAATGATGTGTGACTATTATACATATGAATACAGGTAAATTTACATTAAGCAGTCCCACTTTCAGGCTGTTTAAATGGTCACTTCTTAAAACAATTAGCATACCGCTGCACTAAATGAAATTGTGCATTCCTTGTAATGAAGTGTTTTATTGTTGACTTTTTTTCTCTCTTCATCTGGAGGAATGGAAAACTCCTTGAGGTAAGGATTAATCCCTCGCTACTCTCACTCACTACTGTATCTTTGTAGTGTTTTTGTTAATGTCCCTTAAAGCGTTTTGAACCTGTATTAAATGGGTCAAACTAACCCGTCATTTTGCCCCTTCCCAAAGGGTGACCACAGCAATTATAAAGGTTGGACTGTGAATTGCCTTATGTGAATGACAGTGTACCTTCCATCGCGGCCCTTGTCTATGGACACCTTTCCTCTCCTCCATGTTGGTGTAACACTTGGGCCATTACTCTTTGGAAGATAGTAGCGTTGTTGTCAGAGCTTACTCTAAAAAGATATATCACCAAAGCAAAGTCACTTTCTTGATCTTTGATACATATTGTCTCTTTGGCAGTTATCAGGTACATATTATTGGCATCAATGTTCAATGACACTGGCATTTTGAACTTCTGAAGGAAATTCTTTTTAACCCTTTAACCCCTAGCAGCGACCAGCATCAAATTTATCCTTACAGTATCATAGACAAATCAAACAGAATAAACTAAAATGATCACCAATGAACAGAGAACAGTGTAAAGAATATGCAAGTTGATTTTTGGGGTTAAAGGGTTAATCTACAAAAAAGGCAGGTGAAAAACTAGAGCTAAATTGGGTTGGGAGGCATAATACAATGGGTACTATTGTCATTCATGAGGTGGAGGTGTTCACTGTTGAACCTTCCAAGTTCTGTAGTGGCTTCCAAAGAAACATCCTGAGGTACTAATAAATCCTCCTGTCATTACTATTTCAGTTGGCTTTTATTTTATACTACGTGTAATTGACCTGTTCCAAATCTGCGTAGATTCCCTCCAGGTGTGGCCTACCATTGATGTATGTGCAGTAATTTACTTTCTCTTCAAATTAGAACTTACTTGGTTTTTTAAGTGAAGCTAAGACCTGTTTGGTAGTTAAATTAAAATTTGATAGATGTTTATTATACTTACTCTTCATCAAGGTAGAAGCCGTGAAAGTCTTCCTTTTTAGAAAGGACCTTGTATATTTGCCTTAGTGTTCTCTATAAATGAAAGAAATCACATCCCTTTCTCAGTTTGACAATAATATGCTGGTCAAAAGACATCCCAGGTTATGACTCTCGGGGACAGGAGCCAGAATTTAGCATTAAAAATTCAGCTGTCTGCTTTGGTTTCGTTTTGATGTCATTTATGTCTCACTCAAGAAACAGGTGGCTTGAAAAAATTAACTCCTGCAATGCAAAAAAAAAAATGACGTTCCACGCTTATTGTCAGTTATTGTCACCACCTCATATGCCCATGTAATCGTACAGTAATTTATTACATGCATACATTTTTTGTGGCGGCCGAGGTAGAAAATACAAATGAAATCTTCCTTAATCTTGTTACACAAATTTCTTCCTTGTGTATTAAAACCGTGCAGGTTTTTTTCTCAAACAAAGAAATAAGTAAAATGAAATAAAAGTGACCTATTCAGCCTAAAGTGTCACGAGTGTCGTGTATCTGACCGAACGATAGTAATTTATGCAAGATTTGCGCGCCAAAACCATTCAAACCAATTTTACGCCTCATTCTGCATGTCCACCTACTTCAGTCATTTCAGTTTTGTAATGTATAATTTTCATGTAATTTTTTTTATAGAAAATCGTCTTTGCGTCATTCAAATGCACGTTTCTTTTGATACTTACCCTGCATGCCACAGGAAAGGCAATTGTATGAGCGGCAGCCCTGCGTCTGGAGCGATGTCTTTCGCCAGGAGCTTCTCGCTCATTTAACCTTTGCTCAATCCTTTGCAGGACTTGTGTTTGATTTCTTCTAGCTGCCTCGTGTTCTCACCGCAGCTTCTCATTTTCTGCGGCGAGTTTTCGGTTACTTTGGATTAGTTCCTCTAGTAGCATAACACAATCTTCAGCAGATCGACCTTCCATAGCGAACCGATTTCTAGCTGCACAATAACAATAAAAAATTCCGAAGATCTACAAGCTTTCTCGCTGTACAATAACAATTATAAATTCCGAGAAAAAAAAGTATTGATGCAAGCCGTAAGCGCTAACGATCTAGCCTTTTAAAACCGACAAACGAACTCTCAACAGTTGAAGACGAAGGAGTTTAGAGGATTTGCCCGCTATTTTTCGAATATTTTTATATTTGGTCCCCTGTTGCGCCAGCGCCTCGCTCTGATCTTTTGTCGCTGACCAGTAACACAATGGCTCAAACTGGCGTCACTGGCGGGAGATCGGTGGGAAAATCACAGTTAAACGTTGTTGAAAGCGTGTGGGCTTGTAATTTTGGAATCAAAAGGTAATTTTTACGTAGTTCTATTTATCGTTAATGTATAAATAGCGATGCATGTTTAATACTTCCGGAAAAAAAACCTACAGAGCGATTTATTTAAGCTAATTTAAGCTGACATCGATTTTCTCTCAGTATAAGCTCTACCATCAATTAAGGTTATTCATATGCATCTGGTAAGCAGAAAACGCTCAAGCGTACACAAAATTTACCTAGAAAAGCGAGTTGCGTTTCTCTTGTACTCACTCATCACTTTCTCATATAAGGGGTATCTTCTTGGAGAGCCTATACTCGAAAAACAGTAATTATTTCACCGTCACCAAAACAAAGGCAGGTTGCCAGAGGCCACCAGGCTGGACCAGGTGCTGATAATGTGAGATTTTTACTTATGGTGCAGAATACCAGTGACGGCTTTTAGTCAGATCTTTGAGTTTCTGCACCCTTTCCAGTCAACACATATTAAGCAGCAGATTTTGTGTTACTTGAATAACATGGTGCTTTCAAATATGACAGTGGCCATAGCTTTCTAGAGATTCAACAATTATGATGTGTGATTTTATTGCCGTTTATGGTGCAGAATGCGAGTGACGGCTTTTTGTCAGATCTTTGAGTTTCTGCACCCTTTCCAGTGAACACATATTAAGCAGCAGATTTTGTGTTCCTTGAATAACATGGTGCTTTCAATGACAGTGGCCATAACTTTCTAGAATTTTAACAATTTTGATGTGAGATTTTATTGTTTATGGTGCAGAATGCGAGTGACAGCTTTCTGTCAGATCTTTGAGTTTCTGCACCCTTTCCAGTGAACACATATTAAACAGCAGATTTTGTGTTCCTTGAATGACGTGGTGCTTTCAATGACTGTGATGTGAGATTTTATTGCTTATGGTGCAGAATGTGAGTGACGGCTTTTAGTCAGATCTTTGAGTTTCTGCACCCTTTCCAGTGAACACATATTAAGCAGCAGATTTTGTGTTACTTGAATGACATGGTGCTTTCAATGACAGTGGCTATAGCTTTCTAGAGATTTAACAATTGTGATGCAAGATTTTATTGCTTATGGTGCAGAATGTGAGTGACTGCTTTTAGTCAGATCTTTGAGTTTCTGCACCCTTTCCAGTGAACACATATTAAGCAGCAGATTTTGTGTTCCTTGAATAACATGATGCTTTCAACGACAGTGGCCATAGCTTTCTAGAAATTTAACAATTATGATGTGAGATTTTATTGCTTATGGTGCAGAATGCGAGTGACGGCTTTTTGTCAGATCTTTGAGTTTCTGCACCCTTTCCAGTGAACACATATTAAGCAGCAGATTTTGTGTTCCTTGAATGACATGGTGCTTTCAATGAGTGATGTGAGTTTTTATGCTTATGGTGCAGAATGCAAGTGACGGCTTTTAGTCGGATCTTTGAGTTTCTGCACCCTTTCCAGTGAACACGTATTAAGCAGCGGATTTTGTGTTACTTGAATAACATGGTGCTTTCAATGACAGTGGCCATAGCTTTCTAGAAGTTTAGCAATTATGATGTGAGATTTTATTGTTTATGGTGCAGAATGCGAGTGACGGCTTTTTGTCAGATCTTTGAGTTTCTGCATCCTTTCCAGTGAACACATATTAAGCAGCAGGCTTTGTGTTCCTTGAATAACATGATGCTTTCAATGACAATGGCCATAGCTTTCTAGAAATTTAACAATTTTGATGTGAGATTTTATTGTTTATGGTGCAGAATGCGAGTGACGGCTTTTAGTCAGATCTTTGAGTTTCTGCACCCTTTTCCAGTCAACACATATTAAGCAGCAGATTTTGTGTTCCTTGAATGACATGGTGCTTTCAGTGACTGTGATGTGAGTTTTTATGCTTATGGTGCAGAATGCGAGTGACGGCTTTTAGTCAGATCTTTGAGTTTCTGCACCCTTTCCAGTGAACACGTATTAAGCAGCAGATTTTGTGTTACTTGAATAACATGGTGCTTTCAATGACAGTGGCCATAGCTTTCTAGAAGTTTAATAATTATGATGTGAGATTTTATTGTTTATGGTGCAGAGTGCGAGTGACGGCTTTTTGTCAGATCTTTGAGTTTCTGCACCCTTTCCAGTGAACACGTATTAAGCAGCAGATTTTGTGTTACTTGAATAACATGGTGCTTTCAATGACAGTGGCCATAGCTTTGTAGAGATTCAACAATTCTGATGTGAGATTTTATTGCTTATGGTGCAGAATGCGAGTGACGGCTTTTAGTGAGATCTTTGAGTTTCTGCACCCTTTCCAGTGAACACATATTAAGCAGCAGATTTTGTGTTCCTTGAATGACATGGTGCTTTCAGTGACTGTGATGTGAGTTTTCATGCTTATGGTGCAGAATGCGAGTGATGGCTTTTAGTCAGATCTTTGAGTTTCTGCACCCTTTCCAGTGAACACGTATTAAGCAGCAGATTTTGTGTTACTTGAATAACATGGTGCTTTCAATGACAGTGGCCATAGCTTTCTAGAAGTTTAACAATTATGATGTGAGATTTTATTGTTTATGGTGCAGAATGCGAGTGACGGCTTTTAGTCAGATCTTTGAGTTTCTGCACCCTTTCGAGTCAACACATATTAAGCAGCAGATTTTGTGTTCCTTGAATAACATGGTGCTTTCAATGACAGTGGCCGTAGCTTTCTAGAGATTCAACAATTCTGATGTGAGATTTTATTGCTTATGGTGCAGAATGCGAGTGACAGCTTTTTCAGTTGTCAGATCTTTGAGTTTCTGCACCTTTTCCAGTCAACACATATTAAGCAGCAAATTTTGTATCACTTGAATGACTAATTGCACACAAATGGTGCTTTCAATGACAGTAGCCGTAGCTTTCTAGAGTTTTGACAATTATGATGTGAGGTTTTATTTTTTCTTTGACACAGGGTTATGCAGCAGGCGATGGAGTGTCCACCGATATCAGGCGAAAAGACTTTTTTCAGTTTTCTTTCAGGAATTCACAGTTACTGCTTTGGTACTGAGATGAACTTTCAGTGACATTGTGTGACAAAAAGAGAATAAAAAACGTAATTCATAATAACACCAGTTAAACTTTTTGTTAGTAGTATTATTCATTAGTTTCAAACGATGCTAATAATTATATGTATGTAAAAGAAGAAATCATCTTGCCACTTTTTACTCAGCTATACTGTAAAGCGTCAAATGAAAGGCCTGGGTGTGTTCTGGATTTTTCTTATGAGCTTTGCAACAATTGTTACTACAGTTGAACATTCCTGTTGATGGGAGCCATCACAACTTGTTTTTGTTCCTCTACATCCACTTCAGCTGAGGCGAATCTTGAAAATATCCTTTGGACTGGCATAAACGCCGAGGGTCCTCCTGGATAGAATGACGCTGATTGGGTTGCCATATAGAGTAGTCAGGTTTCCTCACGCGAGCGAGCGAGTGCACGTGGTTTGTCTTGACCCAAAAGGTCAACTTAATGTCACTTGAAATTATTAAGTTTCAAGAATCACAAAGATGTTTTGTTAAGCTTTAATTAAGTAATTAAAGACTCTGAAATACAAGCGTTCTTTCTGCGTTACTTTTACGAATGTTTAAGTTCAAATTAAAGATGAGTAAAGATCTAAGATCATTTAAATTTGCTTTAATTTGAAATTAAAGGTGCTACATTTTAATAGCTAATTTTGGAATAAATTAAAGACAATTAAAACGAGACCTAAAGGTTATTAGTCTTTAATGTAACCAAAAGGTCAATTAAAGGTAAACTGAAGGGACAGAAAACCTTTCGGAAATTTAATGTCACAATTAAAGGTAATTAAAGATGGAACAGAACTTTTGGTGAGCTTTAATTTTTCACTAAAGACACCAAAATGAAAGCGTTCTTCCTGTGTAAGTTACAAAGAAAACATAACTACTTGCAGAAAAATGAAGTGAAGGCTTGGATAGCTAATTATACCATTACAAATGCTCCCATTTCCTGTGTAGCCAGGCCTGCACGTGCAGTTATATGAGCCAGGAATGTTGATACAGTTCGCATTTACGTCACACTGATGAGTTTTATCCTCGCATTCGTCCAGGTCTAATATAAAAAAGGAAAACAATACAAGCCACCAACCTCACACATCGTATATAAACCTAGGCATTTAACGCAACAAAATAATCAATTTTGTAGCATGCTGATTGAGAGAAGAGCAAGCATAAATCCCGGGGGGAACCCCCTACAATGACCCATACGGGGTGACTCCGCCCGAATTGCGAAATGGGTACCTTTTCCATACTTCAGGTGTGGTTGAAATATATGAGAGGGTAGGGAAATCTGTGTCATTTTGGTCTGTAAAAAGACCTAAAAGGGCTAACAGTAGGATTTTATGGCTGTGAAAAAGTCGAGACAATTTACTGGTTTTCTGATTTATTCACAGTTTAACGACAGTGCATTTACAGCTAAAAGTAATGCAAAGTTTCAAACTAGGTATTTGAAAGGGGTACCATTTGTTAATTGAAGGTACTGGGTAAGGGAGGGGTACCTTTTCTCTCAAAAGAAATATATAGAAAGGTACTGGACCTCAAGGCGGAGCTTTACAAGATGAAACTTTGCTGCGGAATTCCTCCTTCCCCGGGGGGCACAGATCTTTTCTATCCCAGACTGCAGGCATTCGCAAAAGAACCTCTTGTCCGTATATCCAAAAAACACTTTTCATTGTTTAAGTCGGTAACAGGTGACCATCTTGGTTTTAAGTCTAAGAATAACTATTGAAAGCGTATCAAAGGGAGTACTACTAAAGGGAGTTATGAGTCCCGACTCTTTAAAGGCGCATCACAAAAATTAACCGGCAAATTTTTACCTTTACAAAAACGCCCATTGCCTGTGTAGCCAGGCCTGCACGTGCAGTTGTAAGAGCCAGCTGTGTTTGTACAATTCGCATTTTTGTGACAATCATGGCTTCCCTTTTCGCATTCATCAATGTCTGAGTAAGGAAACGAAAAAAACAAGAAATAATTATAAATTAAGTCTTACCATGACATTTATCAGCAAGTTTTACCTTTACAAATGCTCCCATTGCCTTGGTAGCCAGGCCTGCACATGCAGTTGTAAGAGCCAGGAATGTTGGTACAGTTGGCATTTATGTGACAATCATGACTTCCATCCTTGCATTCATCAATTTCTGGAGGAAGTAGAAAATATTAAGTTGCAAAGAAAACTAAACTACTTGCAGAAAAATGAAGTCACTGAAGGCTTGTATAGTTAATTATACCATTACAAATGCTCCCATTTCCTGTGTAGCCATGCCTGCACGTGCAGTTATATGAGCCAGGAATGTTGGTACAGTTCGCATTTACGTCACACTGATGAGTTTTATCCTTGCATTCGTCCAGGTCTAATATAAAAAAAGAAAACAATTCAAGCCACCAGCCTCGCACATCGTATATAAACCTAGGCATTTAACGCAAGAAAATAATCCATGTTGTAACATGCTGATTGAGGGACGAGCAAGCATAAATCCCGGGAGGAACCCCCTATAATGACCTATATGGGGAAGCATCGCCCGAATTGCGAAATGGGTACCTTTTCCAGACTTCAGGTGTGGTTGAAATATATGAGAGGGTAGGGAAATCTGTGTCATTTTGGTCTGCAAAAAGACCTAAAAGGGCTAACAGAAGGATTTTATGGCTGTGAAAAAGTCGAGACAATTTCCTGGTTTTTCTGATTTATTTACAGTTTAAAGACAGTGCATTTACAACAGCTAAAAGTAATGCAAAGTTCCAAACTAGGTATTTGAAAAGGGGTACCATTTGTCAATTGAAGGTACTGTGTAAGCGAGGGGTACCTTTTCTCTCAAAAGAAATATATAGAAAGGTAAGGAGCTGGACCTCATAGCGGAGCTTCACAACATAAAACTTTGCTGCGGAATTCCTCCTCCCTCAGGGGGCACAGATGTTTTCTATCCCAGACTGCAGGCATTCGCAAAAGAACCTCTTGTCCGTATGTCCAAAAAACACTTTTCATTGTTCAAGTCTGTAACAGGTAACCATCTTGATTTTAAGCGTAACAATAACTATGGAAAGAGTATCAAAGGGAGTACTACCAAAGGGAGCTATGAGTCCCGACTCTTTAAAGGCGCATCATAAAAATTAACCGGCAAAGTTTTACCTTTACAAATGCTCCCACTGCCTGTGTACCCAGGCCTGCATGTGCAGTTATAAGAGCCGGGCGTGTTTGTACAAGTCGCATTCATGTGGCAATCATGGCTTCCCTTTTCGCATTCATCGATGTCTGAATAAGAAAAAGAAAAAAGAAAAGCATATAAATTAAATCTTATCACGACACTGCCTTGGTAGCCATGCCTGCATGTGCAGTTATAAGAACCAGGAATTTTGGTACAGTTCGCATTTATATGACAGTCATGACTTCCATCCTTGCATTCATCAATTTCTGGAGGGAGTAGAAAATATTAAGTTGCAAAGAAAACTAAACTACTTGCACAAAAATGAAGTCACTGAAGGCTTGTATAGTTAATTATACCATTACAAATGTTCCCTTTTTCTGTGTAGCCAGGCATGCACGTGCAGTTATATGAGCCAGGAATGTTGGTACAGTTCGCATTTACGTCACACTGATGAGTTTTATCCTTGCATTCGTCCAGGTCTAAAAAAAAGAAAAAAAAACAATTACAAGCCACCAACCTCGTACAATGTATATCGGTCAGTATAAAACATAGACTACGGACTGCAGACTGGGTATAAAATACGGACTAGGTATGACTAGGTATAAAACGCGGACTGGAAAATATGGACTGGCTATAAAACAAGGGCAAGGTAAAAACGCAGACTGCGGACTTCGAACTGGGTATAAAATACGGACTACGGACTACTTTGGTGAAAACGGTGCTAATTGGTTCTAGGTAAGGAAAAATAAGATCAGAAGATCGCTAAATAGCAAGACATGTAACTGAGTTAAAGTTGTAAATTCTTGGTGAAGGTGTGCTGCCCAGTTCTCTGAATCATGAGCCGGATCAAAATGCTATTTTCTTCACCCATTTTTAGACGTTGTTTGGGTCTCTAACAATCATGAAAGGGGTCAGGATCAGGGGGGTACCCCCTTATATAATGGAAGGCTATGGGCCTTTTTGGTCTGAAAACACTTTGCCCATTTTGGTGTGGAATCGGGTATGGTTTTCGAGGGAACTACGGGAGCGTACATGAATGGACGTATTTATCGTTTCAATTCCAAATGAATATAAGAACGGAATAGAAATGTGCGAATTCGAAATGCATTTGGAGAATTTTTTTGTTTCCCCTCTAACTTGGTAATGATGACATAATTTCTTCCTAATTAGACCTACCCTGTTCAAGGCTCTGAGATAGTTGGGTCCGCTGAATTGAGAAAGCAAAAACACGACAATAAAACGGGAGAAAACTGGGGAGTCTCCCCAACTATCTGAGAGCCTGGAACAGGCTAAATTAGGCCAGGTCCGAAAATGGGTATGGATTTTAGAGATCTGGTCTGAAAAAGGGGTGTGGAAAATGACATTTTTGGGTCTGCAATAAGGTCAGGATTCGGAGAACCGGGCACCACATCCCCACCAAGGATTCCCAGTAGTAGCCCCCTCCGGGGATCAGTAGCAGGGAGTAAATCATGTCATCATAATCATCGCTTAGAATATAACGTTGGATGACTCATTTCGGTTATTATTCCCGTATGTGAGTAATCCCTTCCCCTAAATACTGCTTTTGTGCATCGCGGAATGCCCTACATTGACCTTCTTGTCTGGGTTCTTCCTTCAGTCCTCATATTCCCAAGGCTTTATTTGAAACAAAATTGTGGCATCCGATAAGAATTTTACTGATCTAACTAACACCAATACTATTTTTTAAAATTGCTGCTTCTTAATTATTGGTCTAAAACAGCAAATTGAAATCTCTTCAAACTCTTTCTTTTTAGAAAATTGAGAGTTTAATTTCAGTTGCCTTGAGTACCGGCGTAACCTTCCTTCTCTGTGGGAAGAATAGACTACGTGAACAGCCAAGGGAATGTTAAAGCTGGGACTACTGTTTTTGGTAGTCCGCTTTCCATTTCTCTCAGTTTTACCTTCTAAAGCTGTTTTTATATATATAGTCCGTAGTCCGCGTTTTGTATCTAGTCCGTGTTTTATACTCAGCCCGGAGTCCGCATTTTATACCTAGTCCGTATTTTATACCCAGTCCGCAGTCCGTGGTCCTCAGTTCGCAGTCTGTGTTTTATGCTGACCGCATCGTATATAAACTTAGACATTCAACGCAAGAGAATGATCAATTTTGTAGCATGCTGAGTGCTTCAGGGAAGACTGATTGTTTCACTCATTGCGAGAAGAGCAAGCATAGATCCCGAGGGGTACCCCCTATAATGGCTTCTATGGGGAAGCTTCGTCCGAATTGCAAAAGGGGTACCTTTTCCAGACTTCAGGTGTATGAAAGGGTTTAGGATTTCAATAGTTAAAGTACATGAGAGGGTAGGGAAATCTGTGCCATTTCGGTCTGTAAAAGGACCTAAAAGGGCTAACAGAAGGATTTTATGTCTGTGAAAAAGTCGAGAAAATTTCCTGTCCAGTTTTGTGATTTATTCACAGGGAATGGAAAGTTCTAAACTAGGTATTTGAAAGGGGTACCATTTGTCAATGGAAGGTACTGTTTAAGGGAGGGGTGTCTTTTCTCTTAAAAAAAATATACGGAAAGGTAAGGAGCTGGACCTCAGGACGGAGCTTAATTCCTAGGATAAAACTTTGCTGCGGAATTCCTCCCACCCGCGTGACACCGACGTTTTCTATCCCAGACTGGCATTTGCAAAAGAACCTCTTGTCCGTATATCCAAGAAAACATTTTCCTTGTTCAAGTCTGTAACGGATGATCATCTTGGTTTTTTAAGTGTAAGTGTATAACTAGCGAAAGAGTATCAAAGGGAGTACTACCAAAGGGAACTACTATAAACCCTGACTCTATAAGGGCGCGTCATAAAAATTAACTGGCAAATTTTTACCTTGACAAATGCTCCCATTGCCTTGGTAGCCAGGCCTGCACGTGCAGTTGTAAGAGCCAGGAATGTTGGTACAGCTCGCGTTTATGTGACAATCATGGCTTCCATCCTTGCATTCATCAATTTCTGGAGGAAGTAGAAAATATTAAGTTGCAAAGAAAACTAAACTACTTGCAGAAAAATGAAGTGAGGGCTAATGGGTAGCTGATTATACCGTGACAAATGCGCCCATTTCCCGTGTAGCCAGGCCTGCACGTGCAGTTATATGAGCCAGGAATGTTGATACAGTTCGCATTTACGTCACACTGATGAGTTTTATCCTTGCATTCGTCCAGGTCTAAAAAAAAAGAAAAGAAAACAATACAAGCCACCAACCTCGTACATCGTATATAAACGTAGACATTCAACGCAAGAAAAAAATTTATTTTGTAGCATGCTGAGTGCTTCAGGGAAGACTGATTGTTTCACTCTTTGCGAGAAGAGCAAGCATAAATCCCGAGGGGTACCCCTTATAATGGCTTCTATGGGGAAGCTTCGTCCGAATTTCGAAAGGGGTACCTCTTCCAGACTTCAGGTGTATAAAAGAGTTTAGGATTTTAATAGTTGAAGTATATGAGTGGGTAGGGAAATCTGTGTCATTTTGGTCTGTAAAAGGACCTAAAAGGGCTAACAGAAGGATTTTACGACTGTGAAAAAGTCGAGAAAATTTCCTGTCCAGTTTTGTGATGTATTCACAGTTTAAAGACAGGACAATTACAGCAGTAAAAGAAATGGAAAGTTCTAAACTAGGTATTTGAAAGAGATACCATTTGTCAGTGGAAGGTACTGTGTAAGGGAGGGTACCTTTTTTCTTAAAAAAAAAAATATACAGAAAGGTAAGGAACTGGACCTCAGGGCAGAGCTTCCCAGAATAAAACTTTGCTGCGGAATTCCCCCAATCCCGGGACAGAGATGTTTTCTATCCAAGACTGGCATTTGGAAAAGTACCTGAGTCCGTATATCCAAGACAACAGTTTCCTTGTTCAAGTCTGTAACAGGTGACCATCTTGGTTTTTTAAGTGTAAGTGTAACTAGCGAAAGAGTATCAAAGAGAGTACTACCAGAGGGAACTACTATAAGCCCTGACTCTATAAAGGTGCGTCATAAAAATTAACCGGCAAATTTTTACCTTCACAAATGCTCTCATTGCCTGTGTAGCCAGGCCTACATGTGCAGTTGTAAGAGCCAGCCGTGTTTGTACAGTTCGCATTTATGTGGCAATCATGGCTTCCCTTTTCGCATTCATCGATGTCTGAATAAGAAAAAGAAAAAAAAGAAACGAATATAAATTAAATCTTATCATGACATTTATTACCAAGTTTTACCTTTACAAATGCTCCCACTGCCTTGGTAGCCATGAATGCCCGTCCAGTTGTAAGAGCCAGAAATGGTTGTACAGTTCGCATATATGTGACAGTCATGACTTCCATTCTAGCCTGCGTAGCATGCCCTTGGAAGTAGTGAGCGCAAGAAAGAGGGGGACACCACCCGTTTTTTTCTTGCTCCCAAATACTTCCCAGCGCCTGCTACGCAGGTTCACTTCCATCCTTGCATTCATCAATTTCTGGAGGAAGTAGAATATTAAGTTACTAAAAAAGCTAAATTACTTGCAGAAAAATGAAGTGAAGGCTTGGATAGTTAACTATACCATTACAAATGCTCCCATTTCCTATGTAGGCAGGCCTACAAGTGCAGTTGTAAGAGCCAGGAATGTTGGTACAGTTCGCATTTACGTCACACTGATGAGTGTTATCCTTGCATTCATCAATTTCTGGAGGGAGTAGAAAATATTAAGTTACAAAGAAGACTAAATTACTTGCACAAAAATGAAGTGAAGTCTTGGATAGTTAATTATACCATTACAAATGCTCCCATTTCCTGTGTAGCCAGGCCTGCACGTGCAGTTGTAAGACCCAGGAATGTTGGTACAGTTCGCATTTACGTCACATTGATGAGTTTTATCCTCGCATTCGTCCAGGTCTAATATAAAAAAAGAAAACAATACAAGCCACCAACCTCGCACACCGCTACCTAGACATTCAACTCAAGAAAATAATCAATTTTGTAGCATGCTGATTGCTTCAAGGAAGAGTGATTGTTTCTCTCATGTCGAGAAGAGCAAGCATAAATCCCGGGGGGTATCTCCTACAATAGCTTAAAAGGGGAAGCTCCACCCGAAAGTGGTACCTTTTCCAGACTTCAAGAGTTTGAAAGGGTAAGGATTTCACGAATTTAAGTATACGAGAGGGTAGGGAAATCTGTGTCATTTCGGTCTGTGAAAAAGTCGAGAACATTTCCTGCTTTTGTGATTTATTCACAGTTTAAAGACAGTACATTTTCAGTTGCTAAAAGTAATGCAAAGTTCTAAAATAGGTATTTGAAAGAGGTACCATTTGTCAATGGAAGGTACTGGGTAAGGGAGGGATACCTTTTCTCTCAAAAAATGTTATATAGAAGGGTAAGGAGCTAGACCTCAGGGCGGAGCTTTCCAGGATAAAACGTTGCTGCAGAACCCCCACACAGATGTTTTCTAACCCTGACAACGTTGATTATTTCTTAGTAAGCAACATTCATATGTCCTCCATTTCTGGGTAGGATACACTTTGGTTTTTCTAACCACCTCGAAGGATCTCGAAGCAACGGGCCACGGTAAGTTTCTAGTTTACTATCTGGCGATTCCGTCTATGAGAGACGTAGACGTAGACGTATTTCCAGTTTGTTTCTGCCCGAAAAGTATTCTTTGTGGCGCAGTCAAGCGAAAACAGGACTGAATATGTCTGCGTTTGCTGGCCACATAATTACCTGTTTCGCAGAGTTCTCCCGTGTAACCAGACTGGCATTCGCAAAGAAACCCCTTATCCGTATATCCAAGGAGACACTTTGCATTGTTCAAGCAAGGTTTGTAGGCACAAATATTCTAGTGAAAATGAAAGCGTAATTTAGACTCATGAAATTTTAATATTATATTGTAGACTTCGAGCAGTTCCCTTTTCAGTCTGTCGAATCGAGACTTGGCAGAGCTCGAGAGAGCGAACCAGTCGAAAAGGAGGGTCTGAATGGGGCTTAATGTTTGGTGTTACTCGTCCATAATTTTGAGTGTTTGCTGTTAAATTAGCCAATTTTTTTATGTTTACTGTTTCCGAAGAAATACTGTCAAGTGTTTGGAGGGTTCTTCGGACATCTTCGGCAATGATCTGACCTCTTCGTTAGTCTTCAGAAATCTTCGGTAGCCTTCGGAAATCTTCTCAATAATCCGGAATTGTCGCAAAATGGCCAAAAACTCCTTGGTATACTATTGGCCTTTTAGGAGCCGTTTTTGCTTCTATCTGGGAGAAAATTACTGTTTCATAGAATCTTTACTGTTAATGTTAAAATGCCTAAAATGTTACAAAGCCAAAAAATGAAGTGTTTAGTGTTATCTAGGTACCCCCATTCAGATCCTCGCGAAGGGAACTGGAGAGGGGCTTTTTCCTTTTCCGGCTTCCCCCTTGTGCGTTTGCCTCGCTCGCTCGCTCACACGTAACATTCTCGCACGCGCGACCATCCTGAGAGACTGCAAGTAGTCAATGCTCCCAATTACCATTCTCATCATTATTTTATGTCTTATTCATCGCCGCTCAACAGATCTTTGGCTAGACTTTGTAAAAGTCCGTTTTGGTTAGTTCCCCCTGTCTGGAGAGAAGACAGACAAGTGCAATCTTCGGAAGAGAACCCAAGACACGAGCGGTCACTATAACAGTAAACCGAAACAGGAAACCGCATATGAAAAGTCTCTGACACTCAAGGGTCGTCATCACTATCTTTTGATCGTCATTGTCATCATCACGTCCATAGCTAAAACTTCACTTTTTGGGCTATGAACAGTTAAACGCTTACCACAAGATAATTCAAAACCATTGCCGTCATTAATTTATTCCAGTGAAATTCGCCATACCTGTGTACCTTTATACGTCCAACGTTCTCTTCGTTTTAAATCATTAGGATGCTGTATGTGATCTGAGTTACACAACTCACAGACCCTCATATCATTAATTGCTGGACCAATGTTGATTGCCACGCACTCTCTCCGGTAAAGACATTCCGTTTCGCATGATTTGCTTGCTCCAATGGAAAGGTTTAAAAAAGTGTGGCCTTGAAGATACATATAAAGGCCATACTCCCGATCAAAAAACTTCAAATACCGAATGTGGCCACAGGTATCTAAAAAAAAAAAAGCGATTTTAACGTCTATTTTATTTTATTTATTTTATTAGCTTTGCCCTGAAGAATACAGGAAAAAAAAAGACACTGAAGATATGCAAATACTAGTAATAAGAACGTAAGAATACACTAATAATAACTTAAATATTTGGGCAGGGACACCGCAACAGCTAAAGCCAATTACTACGGACCCAAAAAATAATAGGATATAAAAGTAGCAATTTAAATCACATGCAGCAGCTAATTTCTTGGTCTAAAAACCTGGCTGTGTTACATTTCAAGCAAATACTTTTGAAGCTCCTTGGAGAGTCCGGGTCATAGTTTATTGCTAGAGCCCGCGAGTAATAACCGTAAAGAACAGATTTAAGTTCTCAAAAGTAACATTATCTAGGTCAAGTCTAGTAATAGGCAGGTTCCAGATTCTAGTGGTTCTAATGAAAAAAGATTTCTGAAAGGTAGAAGTCCTGCATTTTTTAGGCACAAGAGATTGAGAGCTCGTTACGGATATACGGGTCCTTCGCGCGCACTCGCGCACGAAGGGAACAACAGACGGATCTAAGTGAATCATATTATGTGTAGCCTTGTAAAAGTATACTAGATCTAGTAACTCGTGCCAGTAGCACACAGGAAGTAGGTTTACAGACATTAGTCTTTATTTGTAAGAGATATTTGTTAAAAAAAGGCAAGCAAAGAATGAATTGGATGGCACGTCTTTGGATACTTTCGAGTTTAGAAATTAGTTCAATGCCTTGGGGCGCCCAGATCTGGGTTGCGTAGCCAAGATGAGCACGAACTAGCCCGAGGTATAATGCGCGCCTTACGGAAGTACTGTGAATAAACCTAGAGTTCCTCCTAACGAAACCTAACAACTTGTTTGCGCGTGCAGCTTGGTGAGAGACTTGGCGTGCCAAGTCAAGTCACAGTCCAAGGAGACGCCAAGGTCACGCTCTACGTCACAGGACGTGATGGTACTGCCGTTAACCTCGTAGCTCGTACAGATGGGCTTGCGCTTCCTCGTAATGGTCTGAAGCATTTCTTATCATTGAAGGCTAGGCCAGAGGCAGCGGACCATGAAGACAGATTATCCAGATCTTGTTGGAGAGCGGCGCCATCATCCTCAGACATCACTACCTTGTATACTTTAGTGTCATCTGCAAACATTGCCACTTTGCTATGAGGATAGAATCTGGGTTTTTTTCACATATAACAAGAAGATAGCAGGTCCGAGTATTGAGCCCTGTGGGACTCCAGAGGTGACAGGTAGGTCACGTGCTGTCGCGCCTATTATGGTAACACGTTGGCGCCTGCCACAGAGATACGCGTGAAACCATGTGAGCAGGTTCCCTCCGAAGCCAGAACCCCACAGTTTTTCCATAAGGAGGTCATGTCTAACCTTATCAAAGGCTTTGAACATGTCTAAATACACACAATCTACTTGACCAGCTCTATCAAGAACAGCACCGATGTAATCTAGGGTCTCTAGTAGATTTGTGACACATGAACGTCCACTCCGAAACCCGTGCTGACAGTCCGCAATCAGGTCTTCTAATCGATCATTGATGCGGTTCAAGACACAACGTTCGAGGACTTTAGAAATAATGCAAAGTAGGGAGATAGGCCTATAGTTTTCGACATGATCTTTTTCATCCTTCTTTTAGACAGGCGCTACATTGGCCAATTTCCACTCAGACGGTATGTAGCCTTCCCCCAGAGACCTGTTGAACAGCTTTGAACAGCTTGCATAGTGATGGAGCAATAGTAGTGGCGGTTTCCTTTAGGATTCTAGCCGGGATCTCATCTGGACCAGTGGCTTTGTTTGGGTCTAGTAATTTTAGGACAGCCTCAACTTCGCCGACGTGCAACACAATATCGCTAAAGGGGGGTTCTGCAGCAGGAAATTTCCCTGCGCCGTTATCTACTTTGTCCTGTTGAGGAACAGAGAACACTGAAGTGAAATAGTTATTAAAAATGTCTGCGATTTCTTGTGGGGTGTCAGCGGTTGCACGTAGGTTACCAGTCGCCATGGAGACACTTTGTAGTATGTTGCGCGACTTTGAGCGAGTTGTTAATAGGGGAGCACCATGGGTAAGAAAATTTGGTAAACCATTCATCCCAGAAAATTTGGTTATGACGTAGCGTACGCCCGTCCGTACACACACTTCATGTAAGCCGATGTCAAATGTCACAATAGATCTTGCACAACTTGACTAGCCTCTTAGTTATGTAAGCCATTCGTATGAGTACGATTAGATTGACAGCTGTCAAAATCAGACATCCGCTGACAATTATCACATGACCGTCTCGCGGGCTCAGATAAAAGACCAGTCGTTTTGCCCCTATATATAAGCTGATATAATATGTCACACTTACCAATTCAACATAAAAACGAAACTACGCCGGGCAAAGCTGTCAGTTGGCTGACAGTCGTTTAAAGTTACATTGGCAGGCCAAGTTAAGGTCCATTGACAGCTGTCAAAATGGGACATGTGCAGACCGCTATCAGAAGGGCTCAGGTTCGCTCAGGTACACGATCTGACATTTTGCATTACATGCCGGACGGAAATGTCCTACTCACACTCGTGGTCTGTTAATTCGAATATTCGCCATTCTAATGAAGGTTAATTGACAGCTGTCAAACTAGAGTATACGCTGACCATCATCACCTGAGTGGATCTCGGGCTCATTTTTCTATCTATTGAGGTCACGTAGTGTTTAAAGTTTTGCGCTGATATTTTATTTGATCACGGGCTCAATTCGAAGCCCCATAGCTTTATAGAAAATCTGTCCATCCTAGAAAATTCGGCAATCACGTGACCGTACACCGACCACCCGACCCTCCGTCCGTCCGCACCACAGGCATACCAATGTTTAATCTCACACTTTCTAGCTAGTTTGGGAGCCTGCAACCTGATATTGTACATCCATGTTTTGATTAATTGACACCTGTCAAAACAGTGTTTCTGCTGACCAGTATCGCCTGACCGTATCGCGGGCTCAGGTATCGACCTTTAAAATGCATATGAAATAAGTCGTGTTTCATGAGCCGCACTTTTAAAATGTTGATTTCGAACTGATCTCGGACACGAAAATTCAACCGGCTTTTACATTTACATGCAGGGAAGGCAATCGCTTTTGACTTTTCTCACTGTCACGCGTTGATCACGCTCTACGTCCAATTTTTATGTTCTGATTGGTCAAAATTTGACAGGTGAGTTTATGCGGAAAATTTTTGCAGCGTCTGGTAACTTGCTTACTGATAGCTGGAACTGAGAGAGTTTTGTGTCATCTTGTGATGTTTTAAACTGTCTTTTTCTACTTGGTGTACAAAATGAAATACAGCTGCTATCAAGATTGTTCTGTACATGTAATTCGTGGCTGGTTTGTTTATTGCGCTTTTTGTTGACAAATGCACCGCTTGTCAAAGTCATTGGAAATCCGATTTCGGATGGCATCGTTTTCAAAAATGAGCTTACTCACTTGCCCTTGCTTGAGGCGTAAGAAGGTTGAAAAGTCTCAAGCGATTCTGGAACACTTGATGACCTTCAGAAGCAGCATCTCGACTGGTAAGCTTGAGCCATTATTGTTTTTGATGTTTTTTTTTTTTTTCGGTCTCCTGAAGTCGAGCGTATGGCTTATGCGGCTTAAGTTAAAACACGAGCAATGATCTAACCTACAATAGTATCAGGTTTAAAAAGCCTTTAGACATTTTTTGACCCGCAAATTCAAAGAAAAGGTTCCGAAGATTATTTAGTTATGTTTTGGGCTGTAAACAGAAAGCTCTGAGCCATTTTCTTGCCTCGAGTTCATCTTGAAAAAGAGCGAACACCGGGAAGCTGGCTTAAAACATAAATAAGCTTATGCTTGCCTGACTCATGATTTTCCTTGACACTTTCCTCTCAATACTTCTCTTCGTGATTGAAAATTATTGTCTCTGTACATGTTTCACCGAATTAAACTTATTTTATTGATGTTAGTAGTCCCTCTCGCAGTTTTCATCGCTGCACCGGTTGTTTCCAGTCGAACATAAACATCGCATGTAGGAATACTCAAAACGCCGCGCGTAAATATCACTCGCTTTTAAAGATTACACAACAAAATCATACACAGTTTAATGAATAAAGGGAAATAAAACCTAAACAGAACAATTTCTCTATCATGTTGAAGCGTAAATGGTAACTCTATTAATCGCACTGCAAATTTGGTGCCTGTCAAAAGTGAGAACCCGTCCGGCTGGCCGAAAAGTGATTTTATCGTTTTCATTAAAAGCCCATAATTATTGCACCGCATATCACATAGGACCAGATTTTTCTAACAGAAAACGTTTTATAATTCAATGCTATAATTTGTTGTGCAAAGGAAGCGCGTGCTTTGATCGTCGTGGATATTGAATGAGTGCAAATTCTCTCGCAAAATTGTGAAAAATTGCAGAATTATAAGTTTAAATAGGGCAAAAAAGAACAAATTCTGTCCGAGGTCTGTGTACTGTTTACCTGAGACGTGATGAGAAAAAGTATGTTTAAAAGGCTGGTTTACACGCCACCAGATTCGTAGCCAAGATTTACTAGTAAACTAAACTTGTCGAACACAAAAAATCCGGCCTGATTTTTATTTTGGCCTTTCTTTTAGACAGAGGAATGCAACGTGTAAATTGGCTGCCACCAAGGACTATCGTGGCGCATATGTTTCTTAAAATTATATTTCGGGGTTGTCCAATTATCCATAGTCTCTCTAACGGAGCAATGTTGGAGAGACTGGTGAATGCCACATTATGATGCTACAGCTAATGCAAATACAATACACGAATAGGTCTATTTGTTTTCCAGGCCTAATCTACTGTGATCGAACATGATTGCTATTTTTCGGTGTACAAGTAACTTGATGTAAAATTTGTTTCACTCTTGGACGGTCGAATTCTGATTTTTCTCTAAAATCACTCAGCCTTGCCTCAAAAGTCAAATGAATGTGCCCTGATCTGTGGATTACAAGTTTATTGTTTGATTTAAATTATGAATTTATTAACGGGAGCTTCGCTTTTAGCCCTGGCTAAATCTATATATTACTGACCAGAGACGTTTGGGATTGATCTTGAACTCGATGTTAACAGACTCAAAGAACTCAGCTCGTCCCTGCTTTCTCTGATCGCGCGCTTTACTTGTGAACGCAGAGTTTGAAATTTGACTTTTAGTGACTCCGACGGGTGCAATTTTAGTTTCCTGCGTACGGTTTCCTTTTTCTTGATAAGATTGACAACGGCACCTGTGAGCCAGGGCACAGGGTTTCGACCTCTCACTCGCTTGGTTGGAATATTGTCTTTCACCGCAGCAAGAAATAGGTCTTTCCGGGTCTGCCAGCAGCTTTCAAGGTCGCCCTCACCCACCACACTTGTAAGATTAACTGAACGCCGAGCGTCTCAACCACTCAGTCTTTTTTTAATATTCCACTACTAATTTCACCCACGTTAATTCAGAAAACACGTTAAAAACATCAATGCAGTCTTTCGTTCTCCCACGCTCCTCGACCGTGATTGTTTATAAATGAATAACCGATCCTTTGCAGACTGCTTGCTGGACAAAAACATAACACCACCACCAACAACAACAACAAGAAATGTGAAGCAGCTAAATATTCCACAATGACATTTAAAAACTTTGGAACTAAAAGGGAGTATCTGTGAAATGATTAGAAGCTATCGATCGCCGGAGAGAGAACTGATGTGAGGTATGTTGGAAGCTTTAGTTATTTTTTTTTTTTACTTTCAGACTTTTGCCTACCCCAGCGAGTTTTTGAATGAAAAAAGGGATTTTCCCCTAAAAATTTCGCCAGAAATAATAGCCTGCCATGTCGAAGCCGTTAGACAACCTACAGGAGCTTGCCCACCGACCGAAGTAAATAACAAAACGAAATAACTAATTAATAAGTTTCTTGAAGGATCACTAACTAGGAATTTAAATAAAGTACGTCATGACAACCGTCAAACTGTCGTCGCTTAATTTCAGCCTTCCTTTTAGTTTATAATCTTTTTTGCAGCGAGTAAATTGTTGCAGGGCAAGCTTTGTCGTCTCCACGGAAACGTCAAATTGACGTAGTTGCACACTCGTTTAATTATTGATTTAAAGTTCAGTATAAGAGAAAGAGCCTATAAGGCCCTTAAACCATCTCCATCATCCTATCCCTTCTAAAATTCGACACCGAATTTCCAGGGTTTTTTTTGAAAACAGTTTTTAATTTCCAACAGATGTGGTTCAAGAAACACATCCCCCATCCCCCTTGGGCGGGCACAAAAATTGTAGGCTAATCTATGTTGCCGTACATGATCGTTTGTGTCGTAAGCACAACAACGCAGCTGCATTTTTCTTGTCACTTTTTTCCCTTTCCTACTTGAATATCATGCCTAAAAATACGCTTCTAAAATTGCACTAGATACTGATTTTCTTCAAAGTTTGGTTTCTGTTAGTTTAAGGTTAGCCTCAGTGCAGTCTGGACTCAAAGAATGTCCGATACTGATTCCAAGTAAGAATTTTAGCGTTTGTTCTTACTTAAGGAAAGGCTCAATTGAGTCATTGAGTGTCCTCAAAAAAGAAAGGTTCGCATGAATAACTTGAAGTATGATTCATAAAAGTGCTAACAAAACTTTTTCCTGTCATAACTACGGCCGGTCTGTGTTTTTCTCTCATTAACCCTTAGCTTGAGCTATGAACTTTTCAGATATTCGTTGTAGTTGTTCTATTTTAAGTTCTCAACCATTTTCTTTCCTTATGGTTGTAACAAATTTAGGGGTATGTAGTCAAACATTTTGAACTAAACGATAATGACTTTTAAATAAAAACATAAAAGTCATTTCAAAAAGACTTGTGAAACCGTCTTCAAGAATTTTGTTCCTGTTACATCGTAATCTAGCCCGCCTTGGCTCTTTCTCTTATACTTTTTGTTTTTAAGGCACTGACATTATAAGTAATACTGTATCAATGACTTCAGCCAAAAATCATGGAACCTGACTGGTTCGTTTTGCTTAGCATAGACTGTGTAGTCCTCTCCCATGTTGAGTTTCAACTTTTTTTGCAAATGGGAGGCAGCGAAGGTTATAATAGTAAGCTGTAAGTTTAGTAAAGTGTAAGGTCTTGATTATGAACAAAATTGAAAAAGTCCTCCTTAAAGGTTTTTTTGAAAATATTACACTTAGTAGCAAAACGAGAATGAAGGTGAAAGTATGGTGTGTGCATATGTTAACAACTGGCTTTAGTCATACCTTGATTTGCACTAGCAATGCAGCTTAGCCAAGCTCCCCAGAGAACACAGGCCAAGAAGAGTGCTGGAACAGAAAAGCAACAACCAGCCATGCCGGGTGAATTTGTCAGAATGCTACCCTTCTCGATTCTCGTCTTAATTTAAAACTGAGATGTCACGAACTGGCAACCCAATCAGTTCTGTTTGACACGTTCTTTTATCAGTTGTCGTGTAAATTAATTTTCGAAGCTAACATTAACAGCCAGCAAAATTAAAACATGCTCATTAATTTTGACTTCCCTTCAGTTTCAGTTTCATTTATCAACTCTAATTGCCTTTAATACAGCTAGCCACTAATTGCATTGAATTTCTTAACATCTGCCAAAGCGGCCCGGAACGTTGAAAAAGTTCTCGGTTAAATATCACCCCAAAGAAATTAAAAGATATTAGTCATCATGTTTTTGTTTTTGTTATTGTACGTTGGATTGTGCGTCGTGTTCAGTTGAAGTATGAGCAGCATTATAATATGAGCAGACTCAGTTAATTTCAAAGTAATATTTTACCCAACTTCAATTTAGTGGATATTCTTAGTTTGGCATGTTTTTAATAATATTTTAAGTGATATTTTTCCTAGTGAAACTCTATCGTAGCTGCCAATTTTTGTTTCACTGTTTAATATGGACCTTTTGGAATAAGGCCGTTTTTTACTTTAAAACGTTTAGTGAGTTCTCTCCTTCAAAAAAGGTTCATGGGCCTAACACGTTCACTTGTTGGGCGCCTTTGAAATGACAAGAATATTACTCAATTAAAGGATCCACCCTGATACTACATGCACGTTTTCCTACTAGCGCGCGCGTATATATAGGAAAGTACTTACTTACAGTTACAACATGTAGTTAGTATACCAGAAAAAAATCTCGATTTGCTTAAACAGGGGCCACGAGGAATCGATGGACGATTACTGTACCCTGCGAGCAGAGGTTACATCAATTTTTTTCAGTTTGCAGTTATAGTTTGTTTATTGGGCAGCTCACACCGCGAAAATGTAGACTCTGCTCGTAAGGTAGACGATTACAGAAATTTCCCGAAATTGTTTGCTGAAACTAGACTAGAATGCGTGTGAAAAAATTCTCGAAACGCCGAGCTGAGGGTGTTTGTTTTGATCAACGCTGCGCAATGATCGACCTGACTCAGTGCATGGAATCTTGCGTTTTCTGCTTTTATTTCAGCTATTGTATGTTTTATGTGTGAAAACCTTCAATACGAATCGGTATATTTCAAAGAGCTACACAAAACCCAAAGCTACTATGACCGAGAAAATACAGAGCGGGGGCAGCTGTAGTGTCAACTATTACTATACTCCCCATCATGAAGTGTTTTAATTTATAGATTTAGCCAGGGCTAAAAGCGAAGCACTCTTTAATATTTATAGTTTCCTCAAAGAAAATATAAAATCGACTAATACTAAAGACAAGGTAAAAAACAACAACAATGGATCTAATTAGCCAGAAACAACTTTACACGTGCGGAACACTTTTTGTTCTCATCAGCCAGACACGTGCAGCACACTTTTTGTACATTTCCTCGCCGTTGTTTTGCACGACTAAAGCGTGAAACTTCTTTTAACTTCCTATTTACACGTTTTATGGAGAAAATATTTGGGCTCCTGTTTACTCTGTTTTTTCACTGCCGCTCATTTTCACCTTGGTAGCTGCTAGCATTTCTCATTTTCTCACCGCCGCTATGTATAATTCTCATGTTTTTCTTCCAACGAAATTGGTCTCCATTGTTATTTATTTCTCGCTCCAGCTGTTTTCTTAATATCCAGGTTAATGTAGACATTAAAATTTAGTGGAAAGAAAGGCTTGTTTTTTTGCTTGTTTGTTTTTTTCTCTTCAAAAGTCCGGTCGGCCATGTGTTTTACCACCGAAACGAGCAGGGGTGCTTTAAATGTAAAATTTTACCTCAGCTATAACATACTCCTCCCCCGAAGGGCCGACTCCTGACTCCCTTTCCCCTCTCCCAGAGTCTGTACGGTCAACGTTCGGTCGTCATAACCAAATTTTCTTGAATGGATTGATTACCAAATTTTCTAAGCTATGGGGCTCCGCTTAACTAATCAAGCAGTGGAGAGGAGAAGTCGTTACGTCACGTTGTATAATAAAAGCTGTTATCAGTACGTCTCAAGCCCACTTTGGTGACCAGTTCATACATGTAGGTCCTAGTGGCTGAATTTGGGTAAATTTTCGTGACAGACCTCCTTTTATATTTGGCTCATGCATTGTTGCATTTTTAGGAGTGTACAAAATCATTGTGGTAGAGAAATGTGGTCACCCACCCTCCCTTCGGCTGGGCGGATCACCCTTCAAGCGAGGCTAACTTTTTGTTTCTCACGTAAACAGTTCACCACATTTTGTAAGGAAATGTTCCTTCTACCCATGACAATTTGTCTCCATAGAAATAGGGCCATTATATAGGAAAGGAGCAGCTGCTTGTGTCTACATCAAGGCCTGTGCCTACCCACATGGCTACACCCAGCTGCATCGCAACCTTGCATCAACTGAACTGAACAACCATCAGATAGCCTGAGAAAACAGCCGACATTTTTCAACATCACCACTGGTTTCCCTGTGAAATGACGTCTGAGAAATGACTGCAGAAATTTCATACTGTTGAGGTGCCAATACCCAGTTCTGGGTAGTGCTTCTGATTGGTCGAGAACCAAGGGAAAATTGCAATCAGAAGCACTACTCAGATCTGGGCAGTGACACAGGACGTCGCCAGTATGAAATTTCTGCAGTCACTTCCAAACGTCATTTTAGGAAGAAATCAGTGGTGGCGTCCCCAAATTTTGGCTGCTTTCTCAAGCGACCATTGAGATTGTTGTCGCAAATCAAAATCTTGACTATAGAAGCCAAGGAAAAGGTCTCAAGTTAAACTGGATTCCACAACACTAGACAACTTGGGTTGACTACCATACACAGAACTCAGTTTAATTTTAAAGTTTCAAAGTCAGTTGGTTAAACAACTGACGGTAAAGAACCTACAATAATGAACAAAAGCTACAACCGAAAGTTACTTTATACTTAAGGCTGGTTTAACACAGCAGCAAGCTAATCATAAGTACCTTTTGTTACCTAATTAACAGGCATTCTTCATAACAGTTGACCTGCGCCATTTTAAAGCAGCTCTGTGACTGGTCTGCAATAAGTACCTCTGTTTCGAATGTTTGCCCTTGCCCAGAGCGGGGGGGAAGCGCCCGAAACCAGGGCGGATATACCTTTATGGGCCCTGCTCCAAACATCAGCTTTCAAAGGGTCTTCTCGTTGGTGACTTGATTTTATAAACTCAATGGATGAAACTTTTTTTTGTGAGTTGGTCTCTCTCACCGATGCAGTACCACAGATTGTGTTGAAACTATAAATTCCTTCAACCACATTATCATTTTAAACTGAACCAACGAATCACAGAGATGCACATTTTCATGCGCATTTTATGAGGAAAAAACATTCCTTTGAACTCGATAACCAACCAAAGAGCCGCTTTGGATTTGTGCAGGGCATCGCGTGAATGCATTTTCTTAGGCATTGGGTTGAAAATTTAAAAAAGGCATAACACTTTATATAAGCCGTCCACAAAAGTGTTGATGCACACACGCGCGAGTCCACCTGGTCTCGATTTCTTCGATCGTTCAAGCAGTCTGCGCTAGGTCCGTGCGTGATTTAATGCCTGTTGCCGAAATGAAGGAATGTTCATGTCTCCCCGCATTGCTGAAGTCCCTTATTAAACTCTCCACCTGGCGGACATTTGCGTGTGTACCGACTCTTGCAAAACATACAGTAACAGGCCACTTCCGAGTTCCAAAAGCCCTCACTTTCAAAATGAGGCCAAGTGCATCACTTTTCTTGTGAAAATGAGTATTATTTGCATAAATCATTTCCATATCAAAGGCTGAGCACTTAACCTCGTTTTTATACAGAGGCCCAGGAAATTAAATGGCCTTTTGCGAACTACAAACCTTGAATTACCTTTATTAAAATGCCTACACAATTTCCTATTACATTATGCAATATACGTAGCTAAGAAATATTGTATAGTAATGAACAAGTTTCAAAGTGTCGAAGCTTCAACTCTTAGGCTCAGTGGGGGTGCAAGATTCCATTTTGTTCTTTGCTTTTTTCTATTCTAATTTTTCTCAGACAGGAACTGAGCCTGAAAGCTGAAGCAAAAGACACTGCAAATTCCAACTACAAAATGGAAACAAAATTTATCGTAGTGCTGGTTGTACATCACAACCGGCTGTGAGGCTTACTTATTGACTATTTACATACCGTATTTATTCGAATAAGCGCCCATCCTAAAGGCAGAAAAAGTTATTAAGTGCCCAACCTCGAATAAGCGCCCACCACCTAACATCCATCCGGCAAGCTGTATCTGCTTCTCGGGCACCTAACCCATTTGCCGGCTTTACAATGTCGGACATCCAGGAGGTAGCACCAGAGAATTCACTTACTGACTTCTTTAAAGACGGAGTTTTCTTCAGAGTAGTTTACAGAAACCTTGCTTTGATGTTGTTTTGTTGCAAAATATACATTACTACAGTTGCTGAAAATGGTGAAAATTTAATAAAGGCCCACTCTCAAGGTCCAAAAATTTAATAAGCGCTCAGGGCGGTTAATCGAAAAAATACGGTACACCTTTTTCATATTTGGGTCAAGATGACGAGATTGAATGGGGATCCTCCATGTAAGAACGCCTAATTTTAAGCTGAGACTGAGCTAAGACTGAACTTGCTTATTTTTGAGGCGATATGTGCCTCAAAACGTTCTTGGGAAGTTTTTAAATTACATGTTGTAAACATTAACGAAATTCACTCGTCTAGTAAAACCATCTGCTAACAAAAGAGAATTAAATTAATGAGTGTTGTCAGTCAACTAACATGCTGTAAAGCTGGAGGCAAATTCCAATTATAAAATGGAAGCTAAATTTATCTTAGCACTGGCTGTGCATCCCAACCGGCTGTGAGGCTGACCGGTTGGCTATTTACATACACTTTTTTTATAGAGAGAGGGGCCCCAATAGGTTTTTCAGATGCGGGATTTCCTTAAAAGTTGTAGGACGGGATTCAGGATTTTAAAGCAAAATGCTTGGGGGCGAGATTCGGGATTGAGAATATGTTCAGGATGTGGGATGCCAATAATAACCGTTGGGATTACGGGATTGAGCGAAAATTTGGATCAGGTTGACGAGATTGAATGGAGACCCTCTATATAAGAACGCCTAACCTTAACTTAACCATACTTAAGGTAAGTTGTTGTTTTCGTCTAGGAAAACCAAAATAAACCCAGTGACGGATCCAGAGGGAGGGGACTTAATGACTGGACAAAATTATTTTATCACTTAACTCAAGAGACGAAGGCTTCAAAGCTGGGCACTGCACGATTAGAATATCGCCTATCATGGCAGCAAGGTTCTTCGCAGTAGAAAGGAATGTGTAACGGTTTGAAATCATGTAGTAACGAAGTAAGTTATTGGCTTCACCAGTGTGCACAACTTGGTCCCCCGTTATCAAAATTTTCTGGATCCGCCCCTGAAATCAATCATAGAGTGGCGAGTGCACGCTTTCCCACTTTGCACTCGTTGCACGTGTTAGAAAAAATTATTAGTTTCTGGTGTGTTCCTCGTGTCCTTAGAGCTTTTTGAGTGCTTTGTGCCCGCCGTGATAACATAACAGATACAAGAGAGAACTGAATGAAAAATGCTGACATTTTTAAAATCCCTTATATATTTGCGAGGGATATAACTCAGCGGCACTTTTGATTTTTAACGACTGTTTTATGTAAAATATCTGTTCGGAGAAGCAAATATTGCCAAGAATTTTCTATTTTTTGATGACGGCTGAAAGTTTCTATATGACCGTTCCATTCATGTACAATTTTCGAAGCTTATCTAATTAATTCCCTACGATTTCCTAAAGTTCAAGTTTCGCATTTTACTTCCTAAGTTAGGCTATAGTTTTCGTAGGAAAAAGGAAACCTAAAATTTTCGGATTCAAAAGTGTGATGGAGAGAGGAATTAGAAAATGTCTCACTTTCGTAATCCGTCAAATTTCATCTAAAATTTTCGGCAAAATTATACTCAAGCCCTGCTTGTAATTTCGAAAAGACTCAAGTTTCCCTAGGATGACCGAACAGATACAAATTTGACAGCGCCGCTTAAAATGCTTCTAAACGGTACTCTGGATAGCCTAAAAGTGTTTTTAATACCGTCGTTGGGTGCCCCTGATAACTGTCTACTGAAAGGCGGACCATTACCTAGGAATATGTAAGATACTGGAAAGTTCGATACGATATCAATAGTGTCATCTCAAGTATCGACACTTTTCAGGCAAATCTGGTTTGGTAATGGTGCATCTTTCAAAATTACGTTTACCTTTTATTTTATAGCGGGCGAATCAGAGTGCTAATAAAAAAACCACCACCTCTCTCATTGCTTCAATGAGGTTTTTTTATCACCGCTATCTGATATTAGTAAGCTGCAGCTCTGTTTCTCTTGGCGTGTTATCTATGCTGGTGCTACTATTAATGTTACCTGTCTTACCTACCCACAGAGACCCTAAAGTGAAAAAAAAAGGCTTGGCGCCCGTTTCTCGAAAGTTCCGGTAACTTTCCGGGCCCGAAATCAAATATTCAGAATAAGAGCGCGGGTCCTGGCTAGCAGACTACTCCATTTTGTTTCACTAACTGATAGTTTTATCATGCTAGATGCAAAACTATTGAAGCCTCGATCTTTAATGTAAAAGGAGACAGCTTACCGGGCCCGTTAATTATCGGGACTTTCGAGAAACGGGTCCTTGGTCCCCAGCGGAGCGGACAGATAAGGGCGCGAGTGATGATGGGAAGTAAAGAAGAGGGAAATCCGGAGGAGCTCGCATTGCGTTATATTTAAGTCATATCGTCATAAACAAACAAACAACAACAACGAAAAGCAGCGAAGTGAAAAGCACAGGACACAGTTCTTTATGTGGTTGTTTCATAGAATACTTCGATATCTGTTGGCGTGAATCGGTAGCTTCCAGCATAGAGTTTACAGTTGCGACCAGATAAAGAATACCCTGAGGGGAGGGGGTAGTACGTGCCACAAGAAGTTGAAGAATCCGGTTTACTTGCAGCGTTGTTTGTTATTAGAATATCATTCGAGCCAAATGTTGGTCCATAAACATTACACCTTGTTACAGCATACTGGTAACTATCAGGCTTGACTTGCAGCTTAACAGGATTGTACACCGCGCTTCCAGGACCGTTGTTATTGGTCAATGAGTAGATAAAGGCTTTACTTGAATATCCAAACCGACAACCACCTGGGAGATAATGACGAAATTTTTTACAATTCTTACTGACCTTAGTAAAGGCGGTCACAAAAAATCTGCTTCTAGGAATATTCAATGATCCGGACTTCAGTTTAAAATAGTGAGTGCAAGTCCGGCTTGACATACAAACATTCCTAGACAACCCATGAATTACTGTTATTTTTAAAATTTGCTGTATTTGTATAAGGTTTTCAAAGTTCCTGTTATGAGCCATACATCCGTTAGCCTGAGAAAACAGCCAACATTTGGCGACGCTACCACTGGTTTCCCCTCAAAATGACGACTAAGAAACGGCCGCAGAAATTCCATACTGACGACGTGTCACTACCGCCTGGGAAATTTGATTCAACCAATCAGAAGCATTACCCAGATCTGGTAGTGACGCGTCATGAGTATGGAATTTCTGCGCTTGTTTCTCAGACGTCATTTGGCGGGGAATCCAGCGGTAGCGTCGCCAAATGTCGGCTGTTTTCTCAGGCTACACATCCATTTATTGTCTTGCTGAGAACAGTAATGACACTGTATTGAGTTTGAAATTAGTCGGGGAGGAGAAAATTATTTTAGAAACAGTTAGGCAATTTTAGAGGAGTAACAAACTACTATGAGCAGAAAGGGAACTCTCCCTAAACTGGAATCCCTCAGTGTTAGTAGAAAAGAGCATGGTGCAAACTAGAATGTATAACGTGATATCATAACTGAATTCAGATCTATTGAATTATAACAAAGCCTGAAACCTAATTAAATTCCATAAAATACAAATGACAGACAGTATCACACATGCACCTGATCATGTTTTTCAACCTCTGCATGGCTGAACCACTTGATTCTGTTTCATTCAGCTTTTAAAGGTAATTTTGCTTATGAATGTTCATGGATGTAACTACATTGGCGTTTTACAATTAATGGAAAATTTTCCTTTTTTAATCCTTGTGATTACCGTGACCCCCGGGGGGGAGGAGGGGGTAATTCGTAAGCCACAATTTGCTTCATTAAAAAGAGTTCGCAGTTCATAGTTAGAGAGCTTTAAAGATAATTCAGTACAATTAGGCTGGGAGCAGAGCCGTTCTCTCCTTTCCACTCGCCCCTTAATGGCTTTTTGTAAGGAGAGGGCGAAACCAAATTTTGCAAGATTATGTTTACTGATGTTGTGATTTAAACCTGAAATCAACGATAAAAAAGTAAATTGACGTTTCGATGGTTTCATGTCATCATTATCAAAAGATAAGAAATTAACATGATTCAGTAAAATTAGGCTGGGACCAGAAGCGTCCTCTCCTGTGGAGTGGTCCCTTAATGGGTTTTTGTAGGGAGAGGGCGAAACCAAATTTTGCAAGATTTTGGTTATTGATGTTGTAATTTAAAAATGAAATCAACGATAAAAAAGTAACTTGGGGATGGTTTTAGGTCATCATTATCAAAACATAAGAAATCAACACAATTCTTGGAAATATATATTTTCTTTGATAATGATGACATGAAGACAAGTTTCTTTTTTATCATTGATTTTTGTTTTAAGGAAATGTATTTCTAAATCGATTCTTATAAGATTTAAACCTGACCGGGATAATTTAATTTAAATTGCGAAGTAGAGAAAAACAAACGTCTGTTACTTATATCAAGTGACGTCATCATGAAAATGGTCAATTCTGATTGCTGAG